TCTTTATGGTCAGTAAACGTATCGGCAAGTCGACCCTGTCAACACCTCTTCAACACGAGCCTGTACGCCAAAAAGGACGTGCCCCGACCCGAGCACGACCGGCCCCAGACGGTCGCCATCGAGAGCATCACGGCCGACATCGAGGAGAACGGCGTCCGCCTGCGCCTCACCGTCGTCGACACGCCCGGCTACGGCGACTTTATCAACAACTCGGACGGCTGGAAGCCCATCCTCGACAACATCGAGGCCCGCTTCGACTCGTACCTCGAGCAGGAGAACCGCGTAAACCGCAACAAGACGGTCGACAACCGCATCCACGCCTGCCTGTACTTTATCGAGCCCACCGGCCACTCGCTCAAGCCCGTCGACCTCGAGTTCATGCGCCGCCTCCACACGCGCGTCAACCTCATCCCCGTCATCGCAAAGGCCGACACCTTGACCGACGACGAGGTCGCCCAGTTCAAGGCCCGCATCCTCAGCGACCTCGCCCACCACCGCATCGACATCTACCAGGCCCCGCAGTACGACCAGGAGGACGAGGAGACGCTCGCAGAGAACGAGGAGATTGTCGTGCGTCCTCGCTCCCTCTCCCTCTCTCTCCTTCGTCGTCGTCGTCGGTCGTCGTCGTTGTCGAGCGTGCCCTGACTCGTCCGCCCTCGCCGCAGCGCAAGATCCCGTTCGCCGTCGTCGGGTCCGACACGGTCGTCGCCACGTCCGACGGGCGCCAGGCCCGTGGGCGCGCCTACCCGTGGGGCACGATCGAGGTCGACAACGAGGACCACTGCGACTTTGTCAAGCTGCGCCAGATGCTCGTCCGCACCCACATGGAGGAGCTCAAGGAGCACACCAACGACGTACTCTACGAGCAGTACCGCGCAGAGAAGCTGCTCGCCATGGGCGTCGCACAGGACCACTCGGTCTTCAAGGAGGTCAAGTGCGTCGCTGCGTGTCCCTCTTCTTCCTCGTCTCGAGGCGCCCTCCCTGACTCTCTCTCTCTTCCACCTCCCTCTCCTTCTTTCCCCGACCCTCTCTCGCCTCTCTTCCCTCGCCACACCCTCACGCAGCCCTGCCGCCAAGATGGCCGAGGAGCGCGCCTTGCACGAGTCCAAGCTGGCCAAGATGGAGCTCGAGATGAAGATGGTGTTCCAGCAGAAGGTCAACGAGAAGGAGGCCAAGCTTAAGCAGAGCGAGGAGGAGCTGTACGCGCGCCACCGCGAGATGAAGGAGGCGCTCGAGAAGCAGCGCGTCGAGCTCGAGGACAAGAAGCGCCGGATCGAGCAGGGTCGACCGCTTACGCCCGAGAAGGTGCGCCTCAGTTCCTCTTCTCCTCCTTCCCCTCTTCTTCTCGACGCTCGCGAGCACTCCCTGACGTCCTCACTCACTCCCGCAGCAGCAGCAGCAGCAGTCGACGAAGAAGAAGGGCTTCTTGCGGGCGTGAACGTCGACGACCGCCGTCGCCCTTCTTCCCTCTCGCACCTCGCCCTGTCCGCCCCGGTCCGCCTTGCACGACCTTCACGACCTTCTTCTCGACTGTCTACGTCCCTCTCGCCGACCCAGATACCTCGCCGTCTCCTCCTCGCACGCCCTGTCCCTTCCTTCCGACCCCTCGCAGCCTCTCACCCTCGTCGATTCCCCCTCCCTCGTCCTCCTCAGTTGTCCCACTCTCTCTCCCCTCCTTCCCTTTCTCGCTCTCACTCGATGCAGTACCATACCACCCCCTTTCGAGGACGCAGAGACCGGGTTCGAGGTGAGAGAGCGACGAGAGCTGGACTTGGTGCGGCTCAGCCTCGGTTCGGCGGCCTGTGGCTCTGCCGCGCCGGTGCCTTTGAGCCATCTGGACGAACCGCGAGCGTCCTTGTGAGCAAAGAAGCGACGAGCGCAAAGTGAGGCGGTCACTCTCCGCCGCGGCCACCAGCCAAAGTCCTTCCGCCCTCCCCTCTCCCTCAAGCCCACGAGCAGGGCTGCGAGCGAGCCTGCCGACTACTGCACTCTCAGTGTACACGCAGAGCGGCCGCACACGCACCACCGTCGCCCACACTCTCCACCGTCGCCTCATCACCTCCCTCCTCGTCCGACCCCTCGTCCTCGACCACGACTGCAGCCATGGACGCGTCGCTGCGCCTCATGATCGTGTTCCTCGCGTTGTTCCTCGGCGCGTTCATCGTTTACATCCGTGCGTCCCCGCCTCGCTCCCTCGCTCCCCTCGTCCTCCCCCTCCCCCTCATCTCCTCCTCGCACTCGCTGACTCGGCCCCTCTCGCCCGCTCGCAGTCCTGTCGACCTGCCTCGGCCCTCCCCTCATCCGCTGGGCGCGCTCTCTCCTCGCGGCCCACCACGCCGCGTCGCAGGGCTCGACCTGGGATGGCGGCGCCGGCGGCGGGTACCGGAGCTTGCGGCGCAGGGGCGCCGGCATGGGCGGGCTCGATCAGGGGAGGGGCGGCGTCGAAGGGTACGAGATGGCGAGCCTGGGAGCGGAGGAGGACGAGTGAGCGAGGACGGCGAGCGTGAGCGGGTGGGTGCAGCGAGCGGGACGGCGGCCGCGCCGGCCGGTCGTCGAGCAGCGTGCGCCGGGATACGGGGCCCGACGCTCGCCGCCAGAGCAGCAGCAGCTTTTGCGCGCCCTCGCGTTCGGCGACCGCCCCTTCCTGCCGCGGTCGACGCGCGACAAGCCCGTCCCGCCCTATCCTCGCCGCCGACGCACGGGCGCCTTGGTCGACTCGCCCGCCCGGACGCCCTAGCGCCTTCCACGTCGCCATGCCCTCCTTCATGTCGAGCTTCACGACGAGCGCTCGTCGTTCAGCGGCGCTCCTGTCGCAGGCGGCGCGCTCGAGGTTCGGCATGCGCAGCTGGACGAGCTCGGCGCGGTGCGCAAGGTCGGGTCGTGGAGCACGGCGGCCTGAGGTGGAGCAGGGGGCAGCGGCGGTCGATTGACGTCGAGCGAGGTCCGAGCAAGGTGCGTCCTCGTCTTCCCTACTCGCCTGCGTCGCGCGCACGGACCTGACCCTTTCGCTCCTCGACGACCCACAGGACCTCCTCCTCGTCGGTCGTCCATCTCGTCCCTTTCGAGACACGTCGCGACAGCTCAGTTGAGCGATGAGCGGGCGCAGGAACCGTGGTAGCGTTCGCTCTGCAATGACTTGACCCTCGGCTTCCTCCTGTCACGCCGAGCTCGGGCGACCACAGCTGTCGCAAGCTCTGCGAGGTGTCTCGCTGCGTGAAAGACGAGTCGAGAGTACGAGCTCGAGAGTACGAGCGACGCGTCGGGCCCGCCAAGTGCGGCGTGCGAGTCCGAGAGCAACGATTGCCTGCTCGACCTCTTTCGCGCCGAAAGTCGTACGGCCGGTCACTCGAGCGGGTCTCGTCTCTGAGTGGATCGTCGAGCGGACGTCTGTAAAGGTCGAGCGAGCGCCTTTCGAGTCGAAAAAGTGCAGTGCTGCGAGCTCGAAAGCGTCCTCTTCCTCCTCGAACCTCGTCTCGCGGCGAATGTCATGCGGGCGGCTTCTCGACACCGGCGTTCAGACGGGTCGGATCTCTCTCACAGCTCGCTACGGCACGTTCGAGAGCGTTCTTAGCTCCGACAAAGACATGCTGCTGGCCGTGCAACGACGACGAGCTCTCCTCGCCCGCCTTCTCGGCGCACAGTGTCGCATGCAGCAGGGGCGCGGGCTTGCGGCGGGTGTCCAGGCCCGGTGGCTTGTCGAAGAATAGTCTGCGATACCGCGCACGGTCGCAGATGACGGCGGGCGGCGCAGAAGCCGCGAGGACGCGAGTCGACGCGGCGCGCGCGCTCTCGTCGTCTCGCTTTGGCTCGCTCTCTCGCCTCGTCTCGCCGCACTGAGGGCTCGCCTCTTGGCTCAGGCATGCAGTGGAAATAGCTCGAGACGCTGGTGACCTCCCCGAGCCGAGGCGCGCCGTGAGACGAGGAGGAGGATGGTGAAAGCGGGCGACCAAGTGCGTGCGGCGTGCGTCAACAAAGTAGGCCTTTCCTTTGTCGAACGCGCCCGGGTCGTCGGCTTCCTCTCAACCATCGGAGCGCGACCATGCCGGTTTCGGGGTGGGTGCCCCTGTCGCTTAGGCGGTCGTTGCTCTTGATCCCGTCCGCCCCCAGTGTTGCACGACCATGCCGGTCAGGGCTTGGGAAACCTTGGCTTAGGCGGTGCGTGCGGCAGGACACTCCCTTTTGCTCTGTTTCTTTTTGGCTCGAGCGCTGCTCCTGGCTGCCCTTGTGGAGCGCGCTCGCTCGTTCCGACCGTCGCTTCGGCTCTGCTCGACTGCTCTCTCGCTCGACGTCGTGCGAGAGCCTCGCTAGAGAGCCTTCTCGCAAGGAATGATAGGTTCACGAGTGCGAGGCGTGCAGAGAGACGAGCTCAGAGGCGACTCTCCTCCGCACCCGCCTTCTCAAGTCGAACGTCGTCCGGACGGACCTCAGAGGAAGCCCTGCGTCCTCTCGCACAGTGTCTGCTGTTCCTCGCCTCTCGCGCAAGAGGTACCGAGAGCCGAGGTCCTCGCACCGCAACTCGAGGTCCGAGCGGCTCTCGCTCGTCGACAGACTCGGCTCGGCTCACTCTCGCTCTCGCTCTCTGTGACGGACGTCGATGACAAGGAAGGCACGGGTAGACTGCAAGCAGGGGTACGACAAATCGCAGTGGCACGAAGAGAGACAGGAGGGGGAGAGCGAGAGAGAGAAAACGACGAGGGACAGACTATCAGAAGCGGGCTCGACCTCCTCCTCCTCCTCCTCCTCATCGCGCACGACGCCCGCGCTCGACGCCGCCTCAGCGCGAGACGCCAACGGAGATGTCCCCCTGCGTCTCCAACGCGTCGAGGTACTGAGATACCTCCTCGTCGCTCCAGTCGGCGGGCCACGCGCCGGGAGCGCGCACCTTGAGCGACTCCTGCGTCTCGCTCTCCTCGACGTCGTGCGAGTCGAGGGTGAGGCCCGAGAGCTCGTCGAGGAGGGGTGCGGGAGGAGGAGGAGCGGTGGCGGTCGACGTGGCGGCGGCGGCGGTCGGCGTGGCGGCGGCGGCAGTCGGCGTGGCGGCGGCGGCAGTCGGCGTGGTGGCGGGCACAGTGAGCTGCGAGGGCTGGGGAGCCTGCGACGGCTCAAGCTGCGAGTCGGTGCGCAGCGACCAGTCCGACTCGACGTCTGCGTGCGCATCAAGCTGTCAGTTGAGGGCGACGATGCCAAAGGAGAAGAGAAAGAGAGACGCACCGTCGCGGTACACGGCGGTGCCGGTCGAGCCCGACGAGCTCGCGCCGCCCTGGCTCTCCTCGAACGTCGACGCGCCGCCGATCTCGCCGCTGCTGTCGCCGACGGACGACATGCTCGCGTCGTACGACTCGGTGTTGTCCTGGCCGAACGCGGCCTGGTGCCGGTCGTCGTCGCCTGCGACTGCCGCCGTCGAGCCGACCGAGATGTCGCCGAGCGACGAGCTCGTCGAGTCCCAGCGAGAAATCGGCTCGGCGTCACGGACAGGCGACGGGGTGTCGGGCGAGGTCGACAGGTCGGGGCAGAGCGTGCTGCGGTGCGCCGTGCTCGGCGTCTTGCGGGCAGGCGGGCCCAACACGACGAGGTCCGAGTCGCGGCTCATGTCGCGGCTCGAGTCCGAGTCGTCGATGACGATCGTCTCGACGCCCGACGACGACCGGCTCGGCAGGACGTTGCGGCGCAGGAGAGCCGCAGCCACGCCCGAGCCCCCTCCCGCTCCGCCCTCCTCTCCGCCGCGCTCGCCGCGCTCGCCGCCCTGCCCAACCGTCTGCGCACCATCGTGGCCGCCGATGCGGCTGCTACGGCCCGCCGCCGCCTCGCGCTCGAGCTCGGCGACCCGGGCGACGAGGACGGCCTCGCGGCGCTCGTGCGCGTCGACCTGGGCGACGTGGACGGCCTCGCGGCCCTCGAGCTCAGCGATGCGCTCGGTGGGGGCGGCGAGCTCCTTGCCCTGGCGCATGTAGTCGTGCATGAGCCCGTGGACCCAGGCCGGCGTGTCGGTCGGACCGCCGACGACGGCGGGCGCAGTCGAGCGGGTTCTGCCGATGGGCATGGCCGACGTCGACGGGTGCGGCGGCTCGGCGAGGATGGGCGCACTCGGCGTGTCGAACAGGTCCTGGGTCCCCGACTCGTCGACGCCCTCGGTCTCCTTGCCCTCGACGTGCGACTCCTCGTCGGCGGCGGCCGAGAAGAGGCCCGAGGGCTCCTCGCGACGACGGCGCGAGCGCGTGCGGTGCGGCTTGTTGGTGCTCGCGGTGCTGCTGCTCGACGTGGTACCGGGCGACGGGGCCCGGAGCGCAGGCTCGGCGGCCGAGGTCGGTTGCAGACCGGCGCGCTTGGTCGGGAGCGCGGGCGTGGCGTGTCGTTGTCGGACGCGAGGCCCGGCGGCGACGAGATGGTGCCCGTCTGGGGCGTCGAGGACGCGGGCGTGGACGAGGTGGCGGCGGCGGAGCTCGTCGCGAGCGCGGACGTTGGGCGGCTGGGGCGAGTCGGAGCGCTTGAGGTGACAGGGCGCGCGCTCTGCTGGCGCTGAGCGTGGTGCGGGTGCTCCGACTTGACGCCGGACTTGGTCTTTTTATCCTTGACGTCGGACATGTTGTTCTGCAGGGTCCAGAGAGGTCAGTTCGCTGTTCTGCTGGACCGAGAAGGGCCGAGGATGGCGCAGGAGGGTTTGACGAGAGAGGGCGAGCCAGACGCACCTTGCTGGAGCGGCAAACGGGTCGAGAGCGGGACGGAGGTGGTTGAACTGGCTGCCGAGCAGTCGCGAGCGAGGCTCAGGAGGTTGTTGAAGCGAGAGGGGTCGTGCTCGGACGCGGGGCTGATGACGAGGAGGGGCGACGAGGAGGGGGTGCGGGCGGTGGTAGGGGCGTGAGGAGGGTGCTCTGGAGGGTCGAGAGGGCCGACTGGGCAGGGCGGGCTTGCTCGCGGCGAGAGCGAGTGCGCGAAGTGAGAGGTAGGAGGACAAGAAGGGACGCGAGGAGGGCACGCGCATCTCTCGCTCGCCTCTCGCCAACTGGCGCAGCTTGCAGGGCCGCGCAAAGGCAGCAGACTCGCTCGCGGACTACTACGAAGCTCACGCAGGCCAGTCTCGGACCAGTGAAAGCTGTAGCGGTCGACTCGCCGCGTAGAGATGCCGTCGCTCTCTCGAAACTCGCCTCTCTCGTCGCCGAGCGAGCACGAGACCTGCATGCGATACTGCTGCTTGCGAGACTATCAAGGAGAGGGACTACCGGAAGAGGGCCGAGAGAGAGGGACGGCCCGACGAGGCGTGCAGTGTCCGGAGCGAGTCGAGGACAGGCGACCGGCTGTACGACGCAGAGCTGCGGGGCGGGCGAGAGGCCTGAGTCAGTCTCGCGAGGGGAGCAACGGGCACGCCATCGTGCGACGCTGCGACACGACGCGGCTGAACCGACGAGTCGAGGCGAGAGAAGCCGGACACACCCCTGACCCGCAAAGCCCGCCGCCGCGCCCGTCGAGTAGACCCTGCGCTCGATGCGGTTGAGCTTCTTGGCCGTCTTGGCGTTGGTGCGGTTGCGCTGACCGCGCACGGGGAGGCCCATGGCGTGCTGGCGACCCTTGAGGGTGCCGACCGTGCGGTGGTGGGCGATGTCGGCGCGGCGCGCGCGCTTAAGGTCCTCCTCGAGGACGAGGTTCGGGAGCGGGTCGGCGTTGAGAGGAGGAGGGTCGCGGGCGAGGAGGTCGGTCGAGGACGAGGACGAAGAGGACGAGGCGGCTGCGGAAGAGGACGAGGACGAGAGGGAGAAGGGGAGGAGCGGGGTGGAAGGGCGAGGGGCAGCGGCGGGTGCCGAGAGGAGGGCCGAGAGGGCGTTGAGCTGGGGCTCGCTGAGGTCCTGGACGCGCATCTGGTCGTGAAACTGGAGGCGTGCCATGATGCGGGCCGACGTGTGGTGGTTGACGCCGTAGAACGCCAAGAGCGCGATCTGCAGGGGATGCGAGGGTCAGCCGGTGCTCGGAAGGTGGCTCGACGAGGCTGCACGAGCAGAATGCGGCGCATCGAGGCGAGGGCTGACCTTGACGAGCTTGCGGTCGGGGAGGGTCGCGCCGAGGAGGTTGACCACTGCGAGAGCGTGTCGGGTGAGCCTTGTGAGTTTCGTTGGGGCTCGAGAGACATGTGCTCACTGGCTTGAGCGAGGGGCTGGCGGTCCTGGTGGTGTGGGTGACGAGGATTCGTGAAGAGGAGATGAGGACGCGAGCTGATGGGGAAGTAGGCGGCGTCAGTCGACCGCTCTGCGTGCGTTCGAGGGGCCAGAGAGTGGACTGACAGTCTGCGCTGAACGTAAGGCTGGCAGGGCTAGCCCTAGGTGCGCAGTGGATGCGAGACGGTCGGGACCAAGCCGGCCTCTCGTCCTCGAGCTCGCCCTCGCCTCCTCGTCCCTGCTCTCCACCTCGCTCTCTCCTGGAGCCGCACTTGCTGCCATGAGCTCTCGATCAGCATCTCCCGAACCTGCCGCCGCCGCCGGCGACAGCGCCAACCCGAGCCCGCAAGACCTCGCCCAGCTCCGCAACCTCCTCCGCGAGGTCAAGTCGGGCGTCGCAGCCGTAAAGGACTCGGCAGACACCTGGAAGCACCGGTCCGTCCCTCTTCCTCTCTCTCTCTCGCTCTGAGCCACTGACGAGCGCGCCGCACACAGCCTCGCGTCGACCACCGACCTCAGCTACCCCTCGGGCATCTCGCTCCTATCGCTCAAGAACCACCTCCTCGTGTCGTACCTCCAGCACCTCGTCGCCCTCTTCTCGCTCAAGCTCAACGGCCGGTCCCTTACCGACACGGACGGGCCCGCCACCGTCGTCCACCAGCTCGTCAAGCTGCGCGTCGTCCTCGAGAAGATTGCCCCGCTCGAGCAGAAGCTCAAGTACCAGGTCGAGAAGCTCGTCCGCAAGGCCGACCAGTACGACGAGGAGGGCGCGCAGAACGAGGAGGACGTGCTCAACGGTGCGTCTCGTCACTCCCCTCTCCCTCTCTCCCCTTCGCCGGTTCTCGCGACTGACCCTGTCGCCCTCGTCCGCCTCGCAGACCCGCTTGCGTTCCGCCCGAACCCGTCCAACCTCGTGCTCGACCGCACCCAGTCCGAGGAGGAGGACGACCTCGAGGCCGAGGAGCGCGCAGGCGTGTACCGTCCGCCCCGAGTCGCCGCCATGCCTTACATCGAGGGGCCCGCAAAGGGTGCGCCCACCTTTCCTCTCTCTGTATCGCTCCGCAAGCCTCGTCATGCTCACGCTTTCTCCTCGTGCGCAGGCAAGCGCTCGAAGCGCGACCGCGACCCGGGCTCGCACCTCATCTCGGACATGTCGACCTCGATGTCGTCGTCGACGCCCTACGCCGAGGCGACCTCGGGCCTGTCGGTCTCGTACGACCCCTCGCTCCAGTCGGGCACGGCGCGCCACCTCAAGAAGCTCGAGGAGTACGAGATGGACCACTTTACGCGCAAGCACATGTCGAAGAAGGAGGGCCGCGCACGCCGTGCCCAGGAGGCCGAGGTCGCGTTCGGCGGGCTCGGTGCCGGCGCAGGCGGCAAGCGACGCCTCGGCGGGTTCGGCGCCGAGTTCGACGACATCCTCGGCGACGACCGCGGCGAGAAGCGGCGCGAGAAGGCGTACGAGTCGATGCGCGGCATGAAGCGCGCAAAGGTCGCGCCCCAGGAGCGCGATCTTGACTCGAGGGGCACGAGCGGTGTCGGCGCGGCGGCGGGCGAGGGTGGGCCGAGGAAGAGGACCAAGTTCGACAAGGCGGTCAAGAGGGCCAACCGCAAGTGAGCGGGCGAGGTTCCCTTTGTACTGTCGCGTGCAACCTGTCCTGCGCTGCGAACATCTTCCTCTGGCTCGACTGAGAGACCGGCGAGCCTGTCTTTGCCTTGCGGGCTGCACCGCTGCGCGCACTCGATGCCTCTTCGTGCGCCGCGCTTTCTCGCCTGTCGCTTGCCCTCTGCGCGTCGCAGCGCATCTAAGGCTTGGCATCGAAGTGCAAGGCGACGGAATGAAGCTTTGCGTGTTCTGCGAGAGGCATGTGGGCGAGCTGGAGCCGTTCTCTCGAGGAAGGCCGACTCGAGAAGGTCGCGAAGCGAGCTTGCGAGCGCTCTCGAGAGGACCGGCGACGTCGAACTGCGATCCATGACACGACTCGAGTGGGCGCACGCGACGACACGGTGCGCGCGCCACTCTCGACGTTCCTCGCGCTCGAAGGGAGAAGAAGAGGATGCGGTATGAAATACAGGCTCGGTGTCTACTCGTCCATGAGCCTGCGAGAGGGAGAGAAGCGTCAGACAGTGTACGGCGAGCAGGAAAGAGAGAGGGAGAGAGAGAAAGGGAGAGGACGTACACCTTCTTGGCGTCCTCGAAGATGCGGTCGACCTCGGCCGTCTTCTTCTTGGTCGCCTCGTCGAGCTGCATGGCGGGCCGAGGGTCCGTCAGGGCTCGTCGTCCTCCTCGGTCGCTCAAGGAAAGAGAGACGAGCGAGACGCACCTTCTTGCCCTCTGTGCGCGCCTCGTCCTTGCCGACAATCTTTGCGTCCTGGTCGCGCTTGATCTCCTTCTGGCCGTCGATGCGGACCTGGCGAACGGCGATGCGCGCCTTCTCGCACAGGTTCTGCGCGTCGCGCACGAGCGACTGACGCTTGTCCCAGTCGGCGCGCGGGACCGGGACGCGCAGCGAGGTGGCACCGGCGGGTTGGGGCGCCAGGTTGAGCGGCGAGGCGTAGATGGCGGCCGTGACGGGTTTGACGCCCTGTGCGAGGGGGTGAGGAGTCAGGGCGAGAGCTCGTGGACGGAACGAGGAGAGAGAGAGGGCACGCAACGGCTTCTTCGTAGCAGGAGACGAGGAGGTCCTTGCCGTCCTTGACGGTGACGGTCGCGAACTCGTTGAGCGGGCGCTTGCCCTCGGGGGTCTCGACGCGCACGTTGTCGAGGAGAGCTGTGGGCGAGGAACGAACGCGAGTCAGGCTCGTGGCGCTCTCGAGACGGTGGGAAACGAGTGAGGGCGCACCGGGCGAGACGCGACCGACGCGGCCGACGACCTGCTTGAGGGCGACGCGGAGGCGGTCGACGGCGGCGTCCATGTGGTCCTCGATCTGCTTGAGCTCGAACTGTTCGCCGGGGAGCTGGGTGTCGAGGAGCTCTTGCTCGGTGACCATGTGGCCCTTGCCGTGCTTCTTGCCCTTGCCCTTGCTCGGCGGGGTCGAGTCGTAGTCCGGGTCGTCGGGCTTCTTGGCCTTGGTCTTCTTGGTGCGCACGAGGCCGAGGTGGTGGGAGCTCGAGGTCGGGCTGATGAGGAGGAGGGGGGATCGGGAGGACGAGGGTAGGAGGGCGGCGAGCGGGGCTGGACGCGCAGAAGTGGCGCAGCGCAGTGCTGGCCTGAGAGCACAGTGGACAGAGCGCAGGCTCATGGTAGCAGGTGCGGTGCTGGAGCAGAGGCGAGCTTCGTTCGTCTCGCTCGTCCTCATCGCCTCGTCGTCTCTCTTGCCGGACCTGCACCACCACAGCCTCGCACAATGGTCAGTCTGCCTCGCCCACCTGCACAAGGCACTCACTGACTCTCTACACGAGCAGCCTCGCCCTCACCCGCTGTCGACGCTCCGCCTCAAGGTCTCCAAGAGTGAGTCCAGCTCCACCTCGCCCTGCGCCGTCGTCCTCTACACCCGAGTGCTGACCTCTGCACCCGCACAGCCACCCTCATTCTCCCCGTCACGCCCACGACCACCCTCTCGGACCTGCGCGCCCTCGCCCTCACCGCCCTCGCCTCGACCGCATCGTCCGCGTCCGACGACGACCCCGACCTCGCCTCGTCGGCCCTCCCGACCGCCGCAGACGACCTCGCCCTGTGGCGCCTCGACGCACCACACCGCGACGCCGACGGCAACGAGACGGACAAGTGGGTCGAGCTCCGCGACGAGAGCAGCGGAGCGGCAAAGTGGGGCGTGTGCGTCCCGTCTCTCTCTCTCCCTCCCTCAGATTCTCTGCGCACACCCTGACCAGATACTCGGCCTGCAGGAGCGAGGGCGAGGAGCTCGGCGTGAGCTTCAAAGATGCCGACGGTGCGTCTCCTCGCTCTCTCCTTCCTCGCGACCTTGCCCGCTCACGCTTGCCCTCTCTCGCAGGCTCTTTCCCCGAGCCGACCGTCGTCCGCCCCGTCGACGACGAAGAGCTCGAGTAGTTGTCCTCTCCCCCTCCTCTCTCCTCCTCGGGCTCGTACCGAGGTCGAGTTCCGGATACCCGGCTTTGCAACGCGATACCCTTGTCCAGCACCAGCTACGTCTCGCACAGCCGTACCGCTCGGTCCCTCGCCTCGTGCCACGCTGTCCCTCGCTCCTCCCGTCGCACGAGAGCGTCCGAGAAAGCGTCGTGCTCGGCCGGCGAGAGGGCCCGCCAGTTGGGCGAGGGCCGGTCGGGCGTCGCGAACGGGTCGTCAAAGTCCTGCACTTGGAGTGGCGGGATCGGGCGCGGTACGGGCGTGTCGTGGGCGGTCGAGGAAGGTGGCTGCTGCTGCGGGCGAGAGCAGAGTGTCAGTTCGCGAGGCGCGAGAGAGGGACCGAGCGAGACAGAGAGAGACAGAGCGCAACGCACCTGCTCATGAGGGTACGGCCCGAACCGCAAGCCCTTGCAGCGCTCGATGACAGGATTGCTGCCCGCCTCGAGGAGGACAGCGCACCGAGTCGAGTCGTGCATGCGGAACTGCGGTGGGCGAGGGCGCACGCGCAAGGAGGAAGGGGGAGGCACGAGTCAGAGACCGTTCGGGAGGGCGAGAGGAGGTAGAAAGGAAAGAGAGAGCGCACCTGATGTACCGCGAGCGCAACCACGCAGCCCTCGCACCCCTGCACGAGCGCGCTCCCTCCTCCTCGTCCCCCTCGAGCGCCGCCGCCGTCCGGCAAGAGCACGACACACTCGCGCAGGTCCGTCAAGTACAGGGCACTGAACGGATCGACGTCCCGCAGGTCGACGAGACAGCGCGTGAGGGCGGTGAGGGCGAGAGCGCCGCCGGACGAGGGCGAGGCAGGGGACGAGGGGTCGGTGCGCGAGAGGGACGCCGAGGTGAGGTGTGCGTCGGTGCGCGAGGCGAGCGTCAAGGCAGTTGAAGGGACGGGCGAGGTTGTCGGGCGCGGCATCGGAGCTGGACGAGCGAGAGGACGGGCGACGGCCGGACGAGAGGTGGACGAGGTCGGTGCGCCGGGTGCCGGCGCTGCGCGCTTGAAGCTGAACTTGCTCTTGGGCGCAGCCGCAGCTTTCGACGTCGCGATAGCGTCTTGTACGACCTTGAGGTCCTGCGCGAGGTGCACAGCGCGGCGTCAGTCGAGAGGACGAGAGGGAGGAGAGGAGGGAGAGGGGACGCACCCGCTCGCAGCGGCGCAGCTCATACGGCGGCAGGTCTGCCGCACGGGTCGTGAGCTCTTTCGAGAGGTCTTGAAGGGTGGCGGCGGACGAGGCGACGTCTTGCGACTCCTGCAGTGCTGGGAAGGGCGGTTCGTCAGGGTTGCTCGGCGAGAATAGGTGGCCCAAGGCGGGAACGCACCTCGCAGCTGAGCGCTCCATCGCTCGACAAAGACCAACGGTGACTCTTCCATGGCGGTAGAGCTCTGCAGAATGGCGGGATGTGCGTCAGGCATCGGCGCGAGCGAAACGAACGCGGGCGATAGGTGGAGAGGAAGGCAGCGGCTCACCTAGATGAGGTATGGGTCGGACGGACAGATGTATTGACCCTAGCTGATCGTCTTGACGAAGAGCACACGTCGAAGGAGGGCTGTGGGCGTGCGGGAAGGTGGTCAGTGCGGGGGGCGGACGAGAGGAGGAGAGGAGGGAGGAACGCACCCGCTCGACGAGGCTCGGGTCGCAGGAGGCGGCAAGCGTGGAGGACAGGCAAGCGAGTGCGAGAGCAGTCTAGCCGAGCCAGCGGGTGGAGCGAGCGGTTCGTCTGGCGGTCGACGAGGGCGAGAGGCGGCACCAACCTCTGGCCTCGCTTCCTCCTCACTCCGCTCAGCATGGTGCGTCCCAGCTCCCTGTTCGCACCCTGTTGCCCTACTGACTGTCGCACGCGCACCCACAGTCGACCCACCGCGAGGCCAAGTGAGCCCTCGCGCTCTCGCTCCACTCCGATTCGACCAGGTTGCTGACCCTCGCTCGCCCCGCCGTGCCCGCCCGTGCCGCCCACCAGGTTCCCGACCAAGGACTATGTCGAGTGCGCCCACTCTCACTTCCTCTCGACGCGTCGTCGCCGATCAGGAGCTGACCTCGTCCCTCCTCCCCCTCCTCCATCTCCCCCCGCTCTCGCCTCACCTCACCGCCCTCGCCGTGCACCACCCGCCCCGCCATGCTCTCTCGCAACCTCGCAGGCCCACCCCGATGCCGGCGTCGGTCCCGCACGTCGACGAGCTCGGCGTGACCTCTGCCCCGCTCAAGTCGGCCTCGTTCTTCATCGGCGAGTACTGCAAGCCCTACAACGGTGCGCCCCCCCCTCTTGTCCTCCTGCGCCTTCTCCGTCGACTGGCCACTGACTCGGTCCCGCACCCGCAGAGGACTTTATGCTGTGCAAGGCCGAGAGTCGGGATCCGGCGCACTGCCTCGCTGAGGGCCGGAAAGTCACGCGCTGTGCGCAGGACCTGTGCGTCCCTCTCCCTCCTCTCGAGCCCGTCCTTGATGCCCCGGGCGACACGCACTGACCCACCTTTGCCCGCAGCATCGCCAAGGTCCGCTCGACCTGCCTGAAGGAGTTCGACGCGCACTGGCAGTGCTTGGAGCGGAACAACCAGGTGCGCCGCACTCGTTTCGCGCTTTGGCGACTCTCGTACTCGGTCAGAGAGGAGCTAATGCAGCTCTCCGGTTTGCGTTGCGCAGGAGTTTTACCACTGCCGGAAGGAGGAGCGCGTGTACAACGGCTGCGTGTTCGAGAAGCTGGTCCGTCCCTCTCCCTCCTTGCGTCTCTCTTCGGCCATCCTGAACGCGAAGCTGACCTCTGCCTTCCTTTCTCGTTCGCCTCCCCTCCCCTGGTCGACCTCGTCCACGGCACCTCGCCTCGCCTCGCACGACCCGCCAAGCAGAAGCTGAAGAAGGACATCCCGGGTTCGCCAGAAGGCAAGCCGCAGATCCACGACAAGAAGTGGACCGTGTACGGCGCCATCCAGAAGTAGACAAAACCGCGGCTCCTCCTCCTTGTCGCCGTCTCCCTCCTCGTTCCCGCCTCTCCTCGTCCCCTCTTCCCGATTCTCCTTCCTCTTTCCGGCGCTCTCACAGCCGCCTCTCTTTTGTGTTCCTCGTTGGGTCGGTGGGTTGTACGAGGCGAGCGCGGCGGCGGTAGACGGCGAGGAGGCGAGGAGGGAGCACGAGCCGCGAAATGCAGCGCATTCAGTCGACCTTGGCCTCTCGTGCCAGACTCTCGAGAGCGTGCGAGACAGAGACAGAGAGAAAGGGTATGCAAGAGATTGCGTTACAGCCGCGCTAGATCGGGACAAGGGCAAGTCGTGGTTGGGGAGAGGGACGACCGCTGGCGAGGAGGGGGGGAGGGCAACGTCTACGAGGAGGAGGGAGAAGAATAGATGGCGGTCGAGGGGAGGGGGAAAGGCGAGGACGAGTCGTGGGTCGTGACGAGAGAGAGAGGTGCGGAGAGCCGAGCAGGGACGAAGGACGCTCAGGCCGGGACGACGCTCGCATCCTGGCCCGGGGGCGCGATGCGACCCATGTCGGGGCCCCGCTCGACGCTGACGCTCTTCTTGAGCTTGTCGAGCGCGGCGACCGTCTCGGCCTTGGTCTTGCCGTGCCAGGGCCCGGCGTCCGACAGGGAGCAGCCCTCGGGGCAGTCGCACGCGCCGCCGAGGAACTTGGGGAGGGACGCGGCGGGCACCTGCTTGAGGAGGTCGTCCTTGTAGCCCGAGCCGAGGATGTGGATCTTGGCGACGGTCGCCTCGTCGAGCCAGCCCTTGACGAGCGACCACACGGTCGAGAAGGCCCACGGCGCGTTGATGATGTAGAACTTGCCCATCGACTCGGGGTAGTTGTTCTGCGAGACTGTGGGGTAGCGACGTGCGAGACGTGAGTGCGATATTCGACCCCCGAGAGACACAGAGAGAGAGACGGGGACGCACTGCTCGATGCCTCCTGGACGTAGCCCTTGACCTTCCAGAACTGGCTCAGGCCGACGCCCTTGAGGTCCATGATGGTGCACGACGTCTCGACGACGTGGCCCTGGAGCTCGGAGCAGATCGGGAGGCGGTCGCGCTGGAACTTTTCGTACTCGACGACGAGCGACTGCATCTGGCGCTCCGGGGTCGTCACCTTGTACAGCTCGCCGAGGTCGAGCTTGCCGAGCTGCTCGATGTAGACGGGGCGGCCGTCCTTGTCCGTCTTGTGGTAGAAGCGCGGGTACAGCTTGTCGACGGCGGCCTTCTCCGAGTAGTCGAACGTGTCGTACAGCTCGTCGACGTGGAACGACTGCTTCCACTTCTGGGTGTCGATCCACATGATCTTGGCCTTGGGCACGTCAAACTTGCGCGCGCGGAGGAACCGCCTGTCAAACGAGGGTGCGAGGTGAGCTCCCGAGGTGGAGGGAGCGAGTTGGGAGAGGGAGTGGGACGGACAAGAGCATGGCATCGTCGTGCTTCTCCGGGTCGTAGTAGCCCTCTGCGGCGAGCTCCTGCTTGAACTGTTGCGAGGAGGAGGAGGAGAGGGTCAGTGACGGCGTGAGATGAGGCGCGTCTCGCGATGGGGAGACACGCGTCTCGAGAGAGGAGGGATGGGAGAGACGGACCTGCTGGAGGATGGCCTTGTGCTCCTGGGTGAGGTGGCCCGGGTGGCCTGCCATCGGGTCCTGGGGGAGCGCGCAGCAAGCGAGGGGGGGGGAGAGGGTGAGCACTTGCGACGGTGCGCGGCTGGACTGGGGCGGGAGGGAGGCGGGTGGTACCTTTGCTGCTGCCGACATGGTTGCTGAGCGTGTCCAGGTGGTGGAGAGGGAGAGGCCGGAACAGCTCGTGTGCGTCGTCGTTGTCGTCGTCGTCGTCGGCGGTCGGTCGAATCGGCGACGAAGGTCCTCGATCAGTTGGCCTCTCGCTCTCCTCCCACAGCCTCTCGTCCGACGATAGAGCCACCTGCACACCTAGAGCAGCACCGCCTACCCGCACCCAGGGCACACGCCCACCGACTCGCGCCCCCTCCTCTCGTTCGACCCCCCGCTCCCCACCACCAACCTCGCCGTCTCGCCCAACCCACAACATGCCCGACGCGCCCACCCTCGCCGCACGACGCGGCCAGAGCCACATCGGCACCCCCACCAGGCCGCCGCCCAGGTCCAGGCCTCACTCGCACCACCGTCGCAGGTTCCGCCCCTCAAAGGCCACCCTCGAGCGCGGTTGGACCCACGCCTCGTTCCACTTCTCGCTCGCCGCCACTTTCCTCGCCATCGGTATCGTCTGGGTCATCACCCCGCTCGCGTGGGCCTACGTCCTGTGGACCCTCGTCACCCTCCACCCCAAGCTCGCCTCGTCGCGCCCGGCCCCGGCCACCTCGTCGACGTCGCCGCTCCGCATCCTCCACTGGTGCACGTTCGCCTACTGCGTCGTCGAGTGCGTCTTCTCGGTCGGGTACCGCCTCGTCGCCATCCGCTGCAACGCCCTCCGCACCCCGCACCGCCACGGCCGCAAGTACCTCCGCGCCCTCTTCCTCCGCTCGCTCGAGAACGGCCTCGACCTCGACGCCGACGCCGACGACAGCAGCCCCGACGACGACGATGACGACCACGTCGACCGCACCGACAAGCGCAAGGGCGCGAGCGCGACCGTGCAGCGCGCGTCGGGCACCGACAAGCTCGAGGACGACTGGGCCGAGCGCGCGCGCGACGAGGAGGAGGCCCAGCGCGGCTCCGACAGCGACCTTCCCGCTACCGCCGGCACCGGCGTCAAGGCCAAGAAGGGCCGGCGTCGCGCGGCGGCCGGCGCAGGCGACGGCGCGTCGACGCCCGAGCTGGGCACGGCCGACCTGCCCAGCGGCGCCAAGGGCGGCCGCGCTCGTGGCTCGAGCGCCTCGAGCGACTACCTGTCGGCGCGCGTCCTTCCCGTCCTCCGCACCGACGACCCGTCGCCTCGCGCGCCCTCGTCGTCGTCGTCGTCGTCCCGCATGCCGACGAGGTCGACCTCGCGCCACCTTGCCGCCGCCGTCGAGCCGTCGCGCTCGCGCTCGTCGCTCGACTCGCGCGACGAAGGCTTCGGCGGCGACATGTCGCGCCTGTCGCTGCGCACGCTCGACTCGGCGCTCGGCGCGAGCCCGCGCTCGACGACGGCGCCCGTCCTCCCCCTCGTGGCGCCCACCGCCGGCGCCGCGCCGTCGTACCCGCCGTCGTCCTCGGCCCCGGTCGACGTCCACGCCGCCAAGAAGCAGCACGCGCACCCGGACGGGCACCCGCACCCGCACACGCGCTTCCTCCCGCGCCTGTCGCCGACCGACCCGCGCGCGCTCGAGTTCCGCGAGCTGCTCCGGTTCTGGTTCGGCGGGTGCGACTTTGACGCCATCGGCCGCCTCAACATGGCCGACTGGTTGGCGTGGAGCATGTACGGGTGCCCGCTCGAGGAGCTCGAGGACGAGAGGAGGGAGTGGGACAAGGCCGGGCGGCCCGTCCTGACGACGGCCGACGGCGCGCCCGACCGCGACTCGGACGTCGACGAGTCGGGCGACGAGGGCAGCAGCGGCGACGACGACGTCGAGGAGCGCGTCAGGGCGAGGAGGACGAGGACCGAGGAGAGCGTCGAGGCGGACCGGCTCGGACTCGTGCACCACTGCCTCGTACTCGTCCAGTGCGTCCCACCTTCTCTTCCTCTCCTGGTCCTCGACATCGACACTGACACGCTCCCTTTGTCGCAGAGCTCGCGCCGCACACGTCTTCCCTCCCGGCCGCAACCCGGCCGTCAAGCCGCTCCGCCTCACGCTCGACCCGGTCCGCGTCACGAGCCGGCCCTTCCTCCTGTACCTCGTCGTCTTCCTCCTCCAGAAGAGTGTCATGGGCATCGCCATGGCGCGCGGCTTCAAGAAGGGCGACGACCAGGGCACGCGGTACCTCGTCAAGATTCCCGAGGGCTGGTCCCCGAGGGAGGACGCGCCCGAGGACGAGAAGCCCTTGGTCTTCATCCACGGTCTCGGCATGGGTCTCGCTCAGTGTGCGTCCCTCTCTCTCCCTCATCGTCCTGCGCGCCGACTGACGCCGCCCCTTCCTCGCAGACACGACCCTCGTCTCGGTCCTGTCCAAGTCGCGCGCCGTCCGCAACCGGCCCATCCTCGTCCTCCTCCAGCCCCACATCAGCATGTCGATCTTCTCGCCCGGCTACCTCGACCCGGTCGAGCAGGAGGACTGCGCCGCCGGCCTCGACCGCGTCCTGCGCAAGCACGGCTTCGACGAGCGTGCGGGAGGATGCACGGTCCTCAGCCACTCGAACGGCTCGGTGCGTCCTCTCTTTTCTCCTCGTCTCGACTGTACGGAGCGAGCCCCTGACTCGTCGGTGAGCGCCATCGCAGATCGTCCACGGCTGGTTGCTCAAGCAGCACCCGAACCTCGTCGCCCGGTCGTGCTTCGTCGACCCGGTCGCGTTCCAGCTGTACGAGCCGTGGGTCTGCTACAACGCGCTGTACGCGCCGGCCAAGAAGCCCATGGAGCACCTCATGCGGTGCGTCGACGCGCTCTCTCCCCCTCTCTCCCTCGTCGCTCGAGCCCCCCTTTTCCGGGCTCAACCTCGTCGATCCGGCACTGACTCTTTTCCTCACACCTACAGCTACTTCGTCATGCGCGAGCTCGGCGTCTCGTTCATGCTGTCGCGCACCTTCTCGTGGACGTCCAACCTCCTGTGGCCGCACGAGATCCCGTCGCACGCCGACGCGCACAAGACGGCCGTCTTCCTCGCGTCCGACGACTCGATCCTGTCGGCCGAGCGCGTGCGCGTCTACCTGCGCCGCAACGGCATGCGCGAGGTGCGCGCGCCGCGCCGGGTCGGCGACGAGCCGGGCGGAGGAGGGCTCAAGGTGTTCGAGGGCCTCAAGCACGGCGAGAGCATGATTGGCGAGGGCGCGCCGTTCGAGGAGGTCATGCGCTGGGTCACGTGGGACGGCAGGGACCCGACGGCGTACGAGGTCGGCGCGTCGGGCTCGTCGTCCGAGGCGCCCGAGTCGACGGCTCGTCGTGCGTGAGGCGCGCTCTCGCCGCTCTCGCCGCTCTCGCCGCTCTCGCCGCTCTCGCCCTCGTCCTGCCCCTTCCTCCGTCCTTGTCCACACCCGTCGTCGTTCCCGCCCCCTCGCATCGTGCTGTACATAGAGCGCCGTCCCCGCGCTTGTCTAGAGCCTCGTCTTCCCCTCGTCTCGTCGTCTTCGTCCTTTCGTTCCCCTTCTTCTTAGCCTCAGTGCCTCTCGTCGATGCATCTTAGTACCGTACTGTCGTTTTCGTTCGAGGAGAGAGCGACTAGTGAGCTGCCCAAGTGCTCGACGAGCTGTCGAGGGGGGTCGCGAGCCTTTCGCCTCGTCGTTCTTCCGCCAACGTCGCACGCGACACTGTGCGCCACGCCAGTCACTCTCTCAGCACCTGTTGCGCCCCGCACCAGCTCGCCCTTGCCCGCCTGCGCCGCCCTCGTTCCGCCTTCGCCTCATCAACCTCGCCGACTTCCTTCCCTCCCTGTCGCCGTCATGGGCCTCGAGCCGGGCTGTGCAGCGTCTCGGTCTAGCTTCAGCATGTCGTCGAGTGACTGCGTGCTCTGAGCGTCTCCCTTTGTAGCCTGTGAGTCGTCCCTCTCCCTCTCCTCCCCCGCCTTCCTCGTCTCGGCGCGTCCAACCTTTCCACAGCTGACTCTCGCCTCACCAGGTCCTTTGCAATAGCACCTGTGCCCGCACCACGCTTCGACTCGTCGATGCGGAAAGTCAGAGACTCGCGAGCGGGCTTCTTCCCCGGGTGCTCGCGCCGCCGTCGACGCCTTTCTCCACCTCGTCGCCGCTCGCGCCCTCGGCGACGCCTCCTGTCCGTTCAGCCTCACTTCTCTCCTGTCCTCCTCTCGTCCAGCTGCAGCTCGTCAACCTCGCCAGACTCGGTGCGTCCTCGCGTCCTCTGTTCCACCTCGCGCACCATGCCCTGTCGACTGACCGTCTTGCGGTACCTCAGAGGCCCTCGCAATCGCCCTCGCCCGTCCACCCTCTCTCGGCCACCTTCCCTTCCTCGGCCGCACGTCGTCGCCCACGAGCCCTACCTCCCCGGCACCAACGCCGGCTTCTTCAGCTCGAACGAGATGCTCCCCGGGCAAGCCGGCCGCACCGTGCCCCGCCGCCTCGGCATCTACCCGCTCTCGAGGGCGGTGCGGTACGAGCGCTTCTGCAAGCGCGGCGAGGAGACGACGAGGGCAGAGCTGCGGCGCCTGAAGGAGCACGGCCTCGAGTTCTGGGAGTCGCCCCGAGCAGCCGCCCTGTACTCGGCCTTCCCCGAGCAGGAGCAACCGGGCGTCGCCGCCGACGTCAAGGCGGTCGCCGACAGCGGGTCCGACAAAGGCTCGCCGCCGGCGCCTGCATCCTCGACCGCTCGCCGCACGCCCAGCCGCAAGCCAGCCCGCCCGACCGGCTTCTTCACCCGACCCGCCTCGAGCTCGTCAATCCTTCGCCCACCCGCCGTCAACAACCCGTTCAGCTTCCCCGTCGGCTCGACCTCATCGTTCTCGAGCGTCGCCGAGCGCCGCATGGCCGAGCTGCGCGGCAAGATCCCCGCCGACGCCGAGATCGACCTCAAGCAGATCATGGCCGACCTGCGCGACCTCGAGCTGCTCGACCTCTACAACAACGTCAAGGCCAAGCGTGCGTCGGAATAGTCCCCTTCTTCCCGTCGCGCAGGACGAGAGCTAACACCGAGTCGCGCGCAGCGGCGACCGGGTTCAAGGATGCAGCCCGTACGTCCTCCTCCTCCCCTTTTCCCCTCTTGTCTTCCTTCCCGCCTCGTAGCTCACGCCTTTGCCTGCCTGCAGGTGCGCTCTATCCGCTCTTCCACAAGTTCGAAGCCGGCGAGTCGAAGCGGGTCACGTTCGCCGACCTCGAGGGCGCACTCGCGCCCGAGTTCACGGTCCCGTGGACCTGCATCGGCGAGCGCCTTCTCGAGGGACGGGTGTCGCGCCTCAAGGGCCTGAGCGCCAAGGACAAGGCCGTCCTCCTCTTCCTCCAGATCTACAAGTCCGTCTCTCCTTCTGCCTTCCCTCGTTCATGCGCATCGGCCCTGACCTCGCCTCGTCTCCCTCTCGCGCAGCGTCGGTCCGACTCGAGCCCTCAAGTACGCCGACGCCGGCTGCCGCACCCTGGCCGACCTCGAGAAGCGGCAAGACTCGGACAACATCAAGCTCAACAAGGCGCAGAAGATCGGGCTGCGGCATCGCGAGGTGCGCTCTCACCTCTGCCGATCAGTCTGGCAGCGAGCATCAGGGCACTGACATGGTCGTACCCCCGGCGCCCGCAGGACATCCAGCGCCTGATTCCTCGCGCCGAGGTCGAGAAGCTCCAGGTCGCGCTCGAGAAGGCGGTTGCCGCCGTCGACTCGCGCTTCGAGTGCGAGGTCCTTGGCTCGTACCGGCGCGGCGTCGACTTCTCGAGCGACATCGACTTTGCCGTCCGCCACCCCGACTTCCAGGACAAGGACGACGAGGAGGTGAGCAAGGCGCTCATGGGCCAGATCGTCGCCGAGCTCGAGAAGCAGAAGCTCGTGTCCGAGGAGGACCAGCTCATGTCCGGCGGCAAGAAGTATGCGGTGCGTCAAGCTCTCTCTCCCCTCTCAAGTCGAGCCGACGTGACCCTGACCTTCTTGGTCGCGCTCGCAGGGCCTCATCCGCCTGCCCCGCCACAAGTCGTTCCGCCGCATCGACATTCGGCTCGCGCCCTATCACTCGTACCCGTACATGCTCCTCGGCTCGAGCGGCGACGCCATGCTCATGAAGCTCCTGCGCCACACGGCCAAGCGGAAAGGGCTCTGCCTGAACGAGTACGGGCTCGGCCAAGCGGTGCGTCCTCGCCTTCTCCTCCCTTGTCCCGTCGTACAACCCCTGACTCTCGTCCCTCCTCACAGTACGCGCCGGAAGACCAGGTGCGTCAACGAGCTCCTGCACCGTCGCCTCGAGGCCTGACCTGACGAGCGTTTCCTCACCTGCAGAACCCGAACGGCTTCAAGCCCGGCACGCTCAAGCTCGTCAACAGCGAGCGCGAGATCTTTGACCTGCTCGGCATGCCTTACGTGCGTCCCTCTTTCTCTCGCCGTCTCGCAATCCTCTTTCGATCGGTCGCTGAGTCCCCTCGTCCGTCCGCAGCTCGAGCCCAGGGAGCGCGAGCTCAAGGTGTGGCGGGACAAGCACGCCAAAGCGGGCGTCGCTGCAGTCGAGTACCTCCACAAGCTGTAGCGCCGTCGTCGTGCGAGGTCGGCTGCCGCTCTTTGGTCAACCTCCTCGAACCTCTCGAGTCTTGTTTTCTCTCCTCTCTCTCACTGTAGTCGCCGCATCCTGAGTGTAACACAGATGTCCTCCTCTGCTCGAGCCAGAACGACAGCGAGAAGGAGAGCGAGAAGGCAAACCTCGGGTCTTCGGCCGGGTCGTCGACGAACGTCCGAGCCCTCGAGCCGCCGCACGACCCTTGTCCGTCTCTCGCACCCCCGCTGGGCTTGCTGCGCCCTCACAGCCTGCTGTGCTGCTCTCGACAGGCTGCTGCACTCGCACGACCGCCCTGCGACGCCGCCCTCGCCTGCCCTACCCCCACACCTCACCTTCATCGCCCGCGTCGTCCGACCCCCGATCTTGCGCCCACGCCTCGTCGAGCTCGCGCCTCAGCACCCACATCAGCTCGCCACCATGAGCGAGCACGACCAGCAGCCGTCGCAGGCCGGCCCAGTGCCGCGCAAGACCCAGCGGGCTCCATCTTCATGCACGGCCTGTACGGCGCGCAAGATCAAGTGCGACAAGGTCTTCCCGTGCAAGCGCTGCATCAGCAAGGGCATCGGCGACGAGTGCAGGCGCGAGGTGCGTCCCTCTCTCTCCCTCTCCCTCTCTCTCGCCCCTCCCAGAGCTGACCCTCTCCGTCCCCAGGTCGTGCAGGTCAAGGGGCGGCTCGTTGGCGCCGACACGAACGAGCTGCCGCGGCGCGAGTGGAGCCCGGCCGACTATCAGCTCGAGAACCGCGCCCTGCGGCGCATGATCCGCAACCTGACGGGCAAGATGCCGACCGAGGCGGACCTGCAGGCCGGCTTCGACGAGGACCCGCCATCCTTGATACCTGTCGTTCCCGCCACGCCCTCAATCGGCACGTCGCAGCTCGAGGTCGACAGTACCATCATCGCGAGCGACCTCACGTCCATCGGCATCGAGCGCCCTCAAGACGGGCGACCGACAAAAAGGGTGGGCCCGAGCGAACCTTTTCTGCGCCCACGCGACCCGTTCCCTGACATTCCCTCCCTCGTTCGCAGTCTCGACAAGCTTCACCCGACGTCTCGTACCTCGTGCCGACATCGCGAGGCGTCAGCCGGTCAGCCCGCCTGCACTATCTCCTGTCGCTCGTCCCGGTCGACCAGTCGCGCGCCCTCGTCGACCTTAGCCTGCGCCTGTGCGGCTGGATCCACGGCGCCTTGCACCGCATCCCGTACCTCGAGCAGCACGACCGGTGGCTCGCCGCAGTTCAGCGCGGCGAGTACGACGACGTCAGCCTCGAGTGGCTCAGCACCTACTTTGCCGTCATTGCGACCGGCGCCTACTTCCTTGGCGACGCCTGGGACCGCCACCGCATCTTTACTCCTCGTGCGTCCGCTCTCCTTGTCTGTCATCGAGCAGCAGGACCTGGCTCACCTCTCCCTCCCGCCACAGAACAACGCCTCGAGCTCCCTCGAGCATGGTTCTCGGCCGCCCTCGAGGCGCTCTACCTGAGCGAGTTCATGACGCGGCACACGTTCGAGTCGCTCCAGACCATCTGCATCCTCACGCTGTGCGCCAACAACTTTGGCGCGTCGTCGCACCTCGTCTCGCTCCTCCACATGGGCCTGCACATCGCCCAAGCCCGAGGTCTGCACGTGCTCGGCGCCGAGGACGAGGGCAAGATACCGCCGCCGGGTCTGCGCAAAAGGGAGCTGGGGCGCACCGTCTGGGGCGCCCTCGAACTCGGCATTGCGTGCGTCCCTCGTCCTCGCATGTCTCGTCGAGTGTCCCGCACCTGACTCTGCCGCCTTTGACGCAGACTCTCGCCGGCTCAGCAGCAACCTTACTCGCTCATCCTGCCTCAAGGCTTCTCGGCGCCGCAAGCCAACCTCGACGAGGAGGACCTGCTCGAGGGCCAGCCTTTCAAGCCTCGACCGTTCCACTGCATGACCTCGCAATCGGTGTACGTCCCTACTCTTGCCCCTCCCTCTCGCCTAGTCGGTCGTCCTGACGCCCCCTGCGCCACAGGCACATCCTCGTCAACTACCTCGGTCGCCTCGTCCGCACGTTCAACCGCGAGTTTTGGTCCTCGCCCTCGCTCGACGCCCAGTGGAAGCTCGTGCAGGCGACCGACGGCGACTTTGTGCGCCTCATCGACTCGTTCCCGCATTTCAAGGCGACCCCCGAGCCGTACCCGCAGTACATCGACCTCGACGACCAGCTCCCGTACCTCGACTGGGCGCGACACCACATGGCCGTCGGCGTTCCGAGGATCCGCATGACGCTCCATCGGTGCTTCCTGCGCAAGAGCTACACCGACTCGACCTACCTCAAGTCGCGGCAGGTCCGTCCCCTCTTCTCCTCGCCCCTCTGCTCGCCGACACTGACGCCTTTCCTCGCGCAGATCTGCCTCGAGAGCGCCCGAGCGATTCTCGCCGAGCGTCAACGAGTCGTGCCCGCCCTGTTCGACCGAGCCTGGTGCGTCTCTCTCTCTCTCTCTCTCTCTGTCTCGTCTCGATGGCCCTCCTGATCCTTTGCGCTTCGACAGGCACGTCACGAGTGACACGGTCTCGGCGGGCATCATCCTCGTCGCCATCTACCGCGAGGAGAAGGACCTGCACGAGAAGCGGCAGCTTTACGCCGACGTCAAGGCGTGCATCGCCGTCCTGGGCAAGGGCGGCTCGACCGACAACAACCTCGTCCAGATCGGCGTCAACTTGCTCAACAGCTTCTTGCGCAACGCCGGCTCGCCTCCTCCTCTTCCACCGCGCCCTCATCCGGCGGCGACACACTCGTCGGCGAGCACGAGCGCCATGGACGGGCCCGAGCACTTGTCGCCGCACCCACCCTTCCACCCGTCCTTCGAGCCGCCGATCCAGCGCCCGATGCCCACCTTCGACCCTTCCTCCCCTGTCTTCCCTCCTCACGACCCCAGCTACGCCCACGACCCCTACCTCTCTCACATCGACCCGCAACTGCGCGCCTCGACCTCGTACTCGCACTCGCACCACCACCCTCCTCCGCCTCCTCACGACTCGGCCGCCCTCCCCGACCTGTGGAACTCGCTCGACTTTTCGACCGAGCGCCGCCCCAGCTTCGACCCGTTTGGCGGCTGGGAGGGGTCGCTCCTCGCCGAGTGCGCCGGCGGCAGCATCGGTGGCGGCGGCGGCGGCGGCGGCGTGACGTGGGCGTCGACGGCGCCGGGACCGAGTCCGAGCGGGTCGCAGGCTATCTTTCCCCCTGGTGGGGCCGAGCACGTCGAGTACGACCCGTCGAGGCCCACTGCGCAGTGGTAGCGCGCGTCGCTGTAACGACTTTTGCGACTTTCTCTCTCTCTCTGTTTCCGAGGAGGCGAGAGCGACAGACGCTTCTCTCGAGTGCTGCAGACCGAGAGAGACACAGGACCGTAACGACAAGATGCAGTGCGAGAGAGTCTAAGAGATGCACAACGAGCGCTCGGACCTCGACTCACGTCTCCTTGGCCTTGACCTTCTTGTTCTTCTTCTCCCGGCGCGCGATGACGGCCTGCACGACGAGCAATGACGAGAGTCAGTCCATTGTCGATCGTCGACGAACACGGACAGGAAAGGGAGAGAGGCGAGCGCACCTCCATGGCCACGGCGCCAAAGACGAGCCCGACGCCGGCCCACTGGCCCTTGGAGAGCTTGTGGTCGAACACGAACACGCTCAGGAGCATGGTCGCCATCTTGCGCGTCACGGTAATGGTGACGAGCGTGAGGGACCCGTACAGCGACAGGGTGACAAAGATGAAGATCTGGCCGATCGAGCCCGTGAGGCCGAACAGGAGGATGTCGAGCTTGACCGCCGGGTGCGCCGCGATGAAGGCCAGTGACGACCCGAGCTCGTTTGAGTGGGTCCCGGACGCGGCGGCGACGGGGCGCAGGACCGCAGGGAGGAGCGAGTACGGCGTGACGAGGGCGACCGAGGTAAAGACGGTCGCGAACAGGTTCATGAAGAACATCATCTGCGGCCCGTCGAGCGCCGGGTACGACGCAAAGACGTGGTCCTGGGTCGCGTTGGTGACGCCGTCGAGGACGAGGTTGACGGCGAGGAGGACGAGCCCGAGGAGGCTGCTCGACTCGCGCCCGCTGCCGGTCTTGCCCGCCTTTGCCGGCTTGAACGCCATGAAGACGTAGATGCCGACCGTGACGAGGGCGACGAGGAGGTACTTGTGGACGGGGAACTTGCGGCGGTACAGGAGGATGTTCATGAGCATGACGGGCACGAGCTTGCACGACTTGCCGAGGAGGAGGGTCGGGAACGAGATGTGCGACAGGGCGAGGAACCCGAACGGCGCCGCCGCCGACGACACGAACGCGACAAAGGCGTACAGGCGCAACAGGCGCGACGCGCTCGGCTGGGCCGCACGAGGCGCCTTGTCGACGCCGTTCGAGCCGAGGAGGCCGTTGGCGCTCTTGGCGCCGTTGGGCACGACCTGCGCGCCGGGCGTTGCGGCCCGCGGCAGCCCAAAGACCTCGCGCCACGAGACGCCCGGGCGCCGCTTGGTGAGGACGAGGTAGGCCGTGGCCGTCAAGACGCAGAAGGCCGACTGGATCGTGTTGACGAAGAGCACCGAGCGGAACTTGTCCCTGGTCGGCAACGTGTCGTTCGACAGGTACGGCGTCGTCGAGACTGTGGAGGGAGAGAGGGTTAGCTCGACGAGGTTTCGCAGCGATACCGCTCATAGGCGCGCGCCGTGCAAGGTCGCGAGGAGGCAGAGAGAGAGAGACAGAGGGCGACGCACTCCGCTCTTGACACTGTGGGGCTGCGAGTCAGCTGTCGTGACCTCATACGACAGAAGGGCGGGACGAGAGGACGCACGAGAGCCCACACGAGGAACGAGACGTAGATGCCGCCGACGCAGCTCGCGAGCTGGGCGACCGAGGACGAGGGTGCCGCCATTCCGAGCTGAGGTTGCTGTGTCGCGGGCTAGTCGCACTTGTTGGAGCTGTCTGATCGAGCTGGACGCGCGCGCGGGTGTCCACGAGGGCGAGGTGGGGTCCAGGTCGAGCGAGATGATGATGAAGGTGGATCGGGAGGGAAGAAGGAGGACAGCTCGTCAGGTCGTTGCGCTCGGTGGGATAGCTCAGGGGAGCACTGTAGACTGTGCAGGTGCTCACCTGTGCTCTAGCGAGGGCGGGGAGAGGTGAAGCGCGACCAGCTGCTTCCGCTCGCATCTCTCTCTCTCTCCTCCTCGCCGCGTTCTCCTGTGCCGCCGCCCGCCGGCGAGCCAGTGCGCCCGAGTGAGCCACAGCTGGCCTAGCTACACTGCGCCCGTCGACGCGCACGACCAGGCCGCACGCTCCCTCCTCCACTGCCGGACCTTCCGCTGTCGCCGGTCGCCGAACGACTCGCTCCTGTCCGTCCCTCGGCCGACGCGCCTCGAGCCTGCTCCTTTGCTCACTTTCACACCCCCCTTGCTTCCCGCCGCTCCGCCGTCTGAGCACGCGCGCGCTCTCGAGGTCCCGCTCGCCTCGCCTCCCCGCCGACTCGCCGCCGCCGCGTCTCGCCCGGCACGCCTACCGCCAGATCCCGCCACCTCGTCGACCATGTCCTTTGAAGCTCTCTCAGCGGTTGGGGCTTGTGTCCAGATCGTCAAGACGCTCTACGAGTACCACGCAGGTGCGTCCCTCCCCATCCCCCCTCTCCCTTCCCTCCTCTCGCGCCGTCCTGCACCTCGTCCCGCATACTAACTCATCTCCCCCTGCAGTTCACTCGGTGCGCCCTACGCTGCCGCCGCAGTGCCCCTGAAGGACTGGACTGACTCGTCGTCGTCGCGCCTGCAGCGAAACAAGGCCCTGCTCGACATCCTCGAAGGCTTCTCGCAGAACCTCGAGATCTCGCTGGAGCGCCTGCAGGCCCGTGAAGAGATCCTCGGACTCGGCAAGAACGATGCGTGCGTCCTCTCTCTTCTACTCGTCATTGCGCGCGCCCTGACCTTGCGGTCCCTGCAGGCTCGAGAGCATCGAACGCGATTTTACCGCCGCCAAGAGCTGGCTCATCACGAACGACAAGCGCCTGAGATCAATATGGACAGCTCTACAGTACGTCTACAGTTCTCTCGTCTTGACTGCCACTGAGCGCGTGCCTGACCTCGTCTGCGTGCCCTGCAGAGCCTCGGACAAGCTCGCCGACCTTGACGCTCGCCTCACCAAAGGTCCGTCCCCTGCCATCTTCCCTCGCGCTCTACCCTCGAGCTCACGCCTCTGTCGTCTGCAGCTTTCGCGTCCAAGATGGCGGTCGCCATCTTCTCGGCGCTGCAAGATACTCGAGCCGGCGTCGTCAAGCTTCAAACCACGCTCGAGGGCCTCCCGACCAACCTCGAGACGGTCTGTCGCACGAGCACCAAGGAGGCGATCCACGAGGCCATCACCGAGCTCAAGAAGGAGGCGTACGAGGCCGTCGGCGGCAGCGAGCGCGGGCCGAGGAGGGGCTTCAAGAACGGCGAGGCCGAGAAGATCATCTCGGCGCTCGTCGACCAGCTCGCCGCTCAAGAGCGCATCAAGGAGGAGGAGGAGGAGCTCGCCTCGCCTGTCGACGGTCCGCCACCTGTCCAACCCGCCCGGTCCACCTCCGTCCCTCCTGTTCCCTATGGCCCGACCGCGTCCTCCTCGTCCACCTCCCGCCGCGTCTCGTCATACGCGCCGAGCGTCGCGACCACTGCGGCCGATGATCCTTTCGCGCCGGCCACGTCGCGCGCGAGCTCGCTCTTCAGCCGGCGTCGGTCGACGACGACCTTGGCGACGAGCGTCGCGCACTCGGACGGCGAGACGCTCGCGCCGCCGAGCATGAGCGCCGACGACGCGAGCATGCGTACGAGCAAGAACAAGGCCAAGAGCAAGAAGGACCGCCTGCCGCCGGGCGCCATCGTGTTCCACCCGCGCGACCCGTTCACAGACACCGAGCTCGTCGACCCTGTACTCGCCAACGACGGCCTCATCCACGACCGGTGGTCGCTCGTCGCCGGCACGGGCACTCACAAGAACCTGCGCGACCCGGGCGAGCCGCTCGTCATCGTCGGCGACGTCGTCCAGCTGCGCGAGGCCCTGTTCAAGTCGTTCCCCGAGCGGCGCGCCGAGTGGCAAGAGCGGCGCCAGGCGTACCGTCGCGATACGCTCGACCTGTACGAATCGAGCAACTACGCCCAACTGCCCGACCTCGTCGACCGCCTGTCGCACGTCCTCCTGTTCGAGCCAACGTCCGTCTCGCTGCGGGTCCGGCGAGGGCTGTGCTTCTACCGCCTGCGGCTCCTCGACAAGGCGCTCGAGGACCTCGACGTCGCCGTCGACCTGAGCAGGCGAGGCGTCGACGGAGAGCGCGACGTGCACGAGCCGGACGTCGATGCCCTGAGGGCCCGTGCGCTCGTTCTCGAGGAGATGCAGTGCGTCTCTCCCTTCCTTTCTTCTCCCGCTCTCTCTCTTCACCTACCCTCTCGTCTATGTCTCTCGTACCTCGTACTGACTCGGCCGCCTCGACAGCGACAATACGGCCGCGCTTCGCGATGTCGACCTCGTTCTCGCCTCGACCCCGCACGACGTCCTCGCCCTCTCGCTGCGCGCCTCGCTCCATGGCGTGTCGGGCGACGCCAAGGCCGCACAAGCCGACCTCGCGGCGACCAACGCGGCGGTGCGCAACGGCAAGGCGTACCGCAGCCGGCTCGGCGACGCCGACTGCGACCTCGAGTACCTCGCCAGGGGTTGGGCCTACTGCCACGTGCGTCGCCATCGCACCTCCCTCTCCTCTCGCGAGCCGGACACGTCTTCTGACCCTCTCGACGGACGCAGGTGGGCGACTTTTCGTCGGCGTTCGCCGACTTTGGCTTCTCGGCAGGCCTGAAAGATCCGCCCGAGCCGTACACGCTCGGTCCGTCCTCTCCTTTCTCTTTTGACATGCTCAATCGACTCGCCCTGACCTCGGTCTCTCTCTCTCGCAGCCTGTCGTGCCCTCGCCAAGATTAAGGACGAGGAGACGAGCGGGTCGCTCTCGTCCGAGACGCTCTCGACGTGTCTCGCCGAGCTCGACGACGCGATCGACCTGTTGCGCAAGGTGGGCATCAAGGAGGACAAGCTCGACGAGTGCTTTGGCAGGAGGACGAGCGGTGCGCCGGTCCTGCGGCTCGGCGAGGACGGCCTGCCGGTCTCGGCGTACCCGCTTCTCTTCCTGCGAGCCTCGGCTCGGACGGCTCAGTGCGTCCTCGCCTTTCTCTCCTTCTCTGTGATCCGTCTCTGACTAACCTCTCGATGTGTGCCTGTGCGCGCAGGGGCGACCTCGGCCTCGCGCTGCACGACTTCGAGACGGCCTTCCGCCTTCGCGGTGGCGGCGTCAGGGACGTCGCGACGGTCCGAGCGGCGCTCGCCGAGCTGCGGGCCGCGTGCGGCGACCTCGACGGGGCGCAGCGCGACTTTGACCGGGCGCTCGCCGTGTGCGAGCCTGGGCAGCGGTTCGCGATCGTGCAGGCTCGCGACGAGCTCTCGGCGTAGCAGATTCATCTAGACAGGGTGCAATTGCAATCGCGCGTTCTACGACAGTACTGGATAGTCCTTCTCTCCTCGTGCGAGGCCCTCGAGCTTCCATCGGCCGTCGACGTGGCTCAAGACGAGCTGGCGAGCGAGGTGCTGCTCATTGTCGAGAGGCGACCTGACCGCGTCGAGATCTCGCGGGTCGTTGAACCGGCCCTCGTCGTCGACGAGGACGAACGGCTCGTCATCGCCGGCCTGGAAGCTCAGCTGCGAGAAGCCGAACGAGCGGTGGCCGGCTGCGTCCTCGGTGAGGAGGGGCGCGAGGACGATCTTCCCAATCGAGGTCGGCGACGAGAAGCGCACGCGCACGTCGTGCAGCTCGGGGTCGAGCTGAAGGGTGCCGAGCGGGTCGTCGGCCGTCGTCGTCGAGGGCGGAACCGGGCTTGGTGCGCCGACGACGAGCGTCAAGTTGCGCGACGCCCACACCTCGACGGTCGACGTGACGATGCGGCCGGCGAGACGCAGGGTCAAGTCCGAGCTGTTGACTGAGGGTCAAGCACGTCGGGTCAGGCCAGAAGGAGGAGAGGGCCCAAGGGTTCGTCGCCGAAAGAGGACGGCGCGACGCACAGATCGACACCTTGGACGAGGTCGCGTCGACGACCCACTCGCGGCCGGCACCCTCGACGTCGTGCACCCGGAGCGTGTGCCTCGGCGACAGGCCGTGCTCGTACGTCAACGGCGAGGGCGAGTCGGCGGTCTGCGAGAGAAGGTCGGCGTCAGTGCAACTTCGCGGCGACGAGCGAGGAAGGCGCGGTGCGCACGAGGTGGACGACGGCAGGGCGGCCAAAGGGCAGCATGCTTGCAGCGGCGAGTCGAGGTGCTCGCGCGGCAGGCGCAGGAGCGGCGACTCGGAGGAGAGCGGGCGCGAGATGACGACGTCGCAGGTGCCGAGGGCGCGAGCGGGTCCGGGGCAGTCGAGGTCGGGCGATGGGCAGCGTTCGCCGTACTGTGTGAGCCAGGCGAGTGCGAGCTTGTCGTGAGCCGTGGCCGTGGCGGAGAGCTGGTCGCGTTCAAGGTCGAGCCGCAGCAGGGGCGCAGTGCTGTTACCGAGCCCTGATCGCCGCTAAAGAAGGTTTTGCCCGTTCGAGCGGAAGCGAGCCGGTCTGGCCCCGGTCCCTCGCCGAGGACTGTCTCGCTCGGACGCGTGCGAAGACGGCGCGTGCGTCGTCCCTTCCAACGGCTCGCTCCTCGCCCCCCCCTCGTCTCGCTCCCACCACCCTCCTGCCGCTCGACCTACACCGCCATGGTCTCGAGCAAGGACAAGCGCACGTCGGCCACCCGTCGCACCCTCCCCCTCGCCTCGGCCGCGTTCAACTCGCGCGTCTCTCCACCTCCCCCTCCTTCAACCACCTCGGCAAAGCCCCTCCCGCGTTCCGCCTCGACGCCGAGTGGCCATGGCCGCACCCGCTCCTTCCTCACGGGCCTCCTCGAGCGCTCGGCCAGCTCCAAACGCCTCAGCGAGCCGCCGTCGCGCCGCCAGCCCGCGTCGACCAAGGTCGGCAACTCGCCGATGACCGCGCCCGTCGCCACCACGTCGAGCGACACCCGCCCGAGGGCTCCTGCCGCACACAAGAAGCGGCTGAGCGCACCCGTCGACTTCAAGGGCAAGGCGAGCGTGTCGCTGCCGCTCAACCTCTCTCCACACCTGTCCCCCGTCGTGGGTGCGTGCCCACCTCCCCCTTTGTTCCACTGCAAGGGGATGCGACCTGACGTCTCTCCCTCCAGCAGCAAAATCCCACCACTCGCCTGCATCGCGCTCGTCGCGCTCGTCGCCCTACCTCACCTCGAAGCCGCTCCCGCTCGACGGCGACGAGAAGATGCGGCTCGCGGCGTGGGACTTTGGCGGCCCCGTGTCGTCCTCGCCCCAGGAGCTCGACAAGGGCAAGTCGAGGGCCTTCGACGACGTCGAGGACGAGTTCTCGGACGGCGAGCGGGCGGCAACGGCGATGCCGCCGTCGTGGACCGGCATGGCCTCGTACGGCGAGGAGACGCTCGCCGACTTCGATGGCACGCGCTCCCAGTCGATGCCCGTTCTCGCCAGTACCTCGCGCCTGTCGGTCGCCTCGGACACGTCGTCGACGATCGCCTGGGCCGGTCCCTCCCTCACCTCCCCACCCCTCGTCCGCCCTTCCCTCGTCGGCGCCGACACCTTCGCCTCGCGCTACTCGATCCCCTACCACCTGTCGCCGATCCTCGAGTCGGACAGCACGTCCGACGGTCACCTCGGGCCCGTCCAGACCTCGACCGACCACCTGTCGACGCGTGCGCACGAGCCCACGACGACGGCGCGCCCCGTCCTGTACATCGACCCGCCACGCCGCCCGACGCGCATGCACTCGGACATGTCGATGTCGGTCTACTCGCGGCAGTCGATCAGCATGCCCGGGCGCGAGCACGACGGCGGCGGCGGCGGCGCCCTCGACTGGGGCGAGGAGCTCCTGTCGTACTTCTCGCCCGACACGCCCGAGGCGCACTCGCGCCCCGAGCTCGAGCTCGAGGGCCTCGCGATCCGCGGCGCGTCGGCGATGCCGCACACGACGCCCATGTCGCTCGAGGGCGAGGTCATCTTTGACCCGCTCCCGGCGCCGTCGGTCCCGTCCCAAATCGTCCTCTCGGCGCGCCCGTCCTTCTCGGCGTTCGCCTTTCCCTCGTCGTCGTCCCTCGCGACAACGTCGTCGGCGTCGTCGTCGGAGCAGCCGTCGCACGTCGCGTCGCCGCTGTTCGACGAGGTCCGAGCGTCGGCGGCCCCGTCGACGTTCACGGTCGCGACGTCCGTCTTTGACGACGCGGCAGGGGATGGGCAGGACGGCGCGTCGACGACGGAGAAGGACGTGCAGGGCGCCGATGGCGGAGTGTGGCGAGCCGACTGGGGCTGGGAGATGTACCGCCGCTCGCCCGAGCCGGTCGTCGCCGACGGCGACTCGACGCCTGCGTCGCCAAAGGGTCGCACGCCGTCCCTGTCGCCGCCGACGTTCGCAATCAACCTCGCAGCCGCACGCTCGGCCTCGCCGGGCGCCGTCTCGCCCGTCCTTCTTCCTCTCGCCGCTCGCGCCCTGCGCAAGCGCGAGAAGTCGCTCCCGTCGATCCCGGACAACGCGTCGATGTGGTCGGGCACGACCGGCGTGCCCGTCCCGAGCGGCGAGACGATGCACGTCGAGGTGTTCTGTACGCGCGAACTCGTTCGGCGCGGCAAGTACGGCGAGAGGCGGGTCCTCGTCGAGCGCACTCTCTTGTTCACCGAGGACGCTTAAGCGGGCGTTCCTCGTTTCTCTCTTCCCTTTCCTTTGAGTACCCCCTCTCTGTGCCGCAGGCCTTTCGGTGAAACTCGAAACGCGCATCTCTATGTTTCAGTCTCGATACAGCGCCTCTCGCCGAATGATGCCCACGACCGCCTCGAACGGCACGTCCCTCGCGACGTCGTCCCACCGCCCCTCCTGCACCGCCTGCCGCACCCTCGTCGACGACACGCCCTGCGCCTCGCCCGGCAGGTCAAACACCTCGACCTTGCCCTGCTGCGCCCACTTGCGCACCTCGTCCGACGCGAGAAAGTCGGCCTCGTCCTGCGGCGAGACGTCGCCGCGGCGGGCGCAGACGAGCGACGAGTCGTCGTCGCCGAGGAGGGCCTGCATCTGGATCGGCAGAGAGGGTGCGGGAAGCTGGTAGTACCGAGGGGCGAAGATGCGCAGGATCGTGTCCCAGCCTGCGTTGCGATCGAGAGAGCGAGGTGAGCGACTCGAGCTCTGTATGAGCGCACGCAAGAGAGAACGAGAGAGAGTGGGACGCACCGACAGGGAAAGTGAGGCGGACCTCGTCCTCGCTGTGGCCGCTCTGCGCCTGCACGAGTGCGTCGAGCTCGCCGCGGAGGAGCCTGCTCTTGTCGGTGAAGGTCGGCGCCTCGGTGACGGCGACAGCGACGTTGGCGAGCGCCTTGTCGCCGCTGTCGGCCGCTCGGCGCACCAAGTCGAGCGCGGCGGCGCGCATCATCTCGACGCGGACGGCCGCGACTCGCTCGTCGATGCGGCCTTTATCCGGGTGCCCGATCGTGAGGGCGAGCAGGTGGGCGTCGGCGTCGGGACAGTGCTGGGCGAGGGCGATGTGAGCCAGGTGGGGCGGGTTCCACGACGACTCGAGGACGCACACGCGCAGGCGGCGAGGCGAGGCGGTAGTGGCGGCAGGTGGCGGGGCATCGGGCGACAGGGGCCAGCGACCGTGCGACGCGTAGACGAGGGTGAACGGCGTGTGCTCGCCGCGGGGGAGGAGCGCGGCGACGGGGAGCGAGGGCGAGGTCGGCAAGGGCAGTCGCGGTGCCATGGTTGGTGCTGTCGCTCTCTCGTGCTCAACAGGGTCCTGCCGAGCCGCGCTGTGCTTGCCCGGTCGAGAGAGAGCGAGCGATTGCGACGACTCGTCCTCGTCGCTGATGAGACGGCGACGACGTTGGCAAACGCTCTCAAGCAGACAAGGGAGGGCTTCAGAAGTGTTCATGCACCGTCGCACGAAAACTACCCGGAAAGATAGGCGCGCCTCGCGCTCCCCTCCTCTCACCACCTCGCACCTCCTGCCTGCGGCGGCCGCCCATGAGGCTGCCCTCCTCCACCGAGCCGCCCCTGCTGCTGCTGGTGCTGCTGCTGCTGCGACGGGTACCCGTACCCGCCCTGCCCGTAGCCGTGCCCGTACCCGCCGCCCATGCCGCTCGCGCCCATGCTCATGCCCTGCGCGCTCGCGACCGGCGAGCCGAGCGGCACGTGGTGGCCTGCGTGCCCCGGGCTGAAGTGAGGCACCGGCGGCAGCTGCTGCGGCATGATGACCGGCGACGCCATCGTCGTGCCCGCCGACGGCGGAGGAGGCGCGCCGTACCCGCTCGGACCGCCGCCTTGCTGCGACGAGCGACCGTCGTTGCTGCCGTAGCTGTCCATGCGGTACGGCACGCCAGGGTGCGGGCCGCCGTGCTGCTGCTGCTGGTGGTGCTGCTGCTGGTGCGCGTGCTGGAACGAGTGGACGTACTGCCCGCCGCCGCCGCCGCCGCCGAGGTGGTACCCGAGCGGCGCTTGCGCACGACCGTACATGCTGGCGCCTGGCGCGCCCGGCTGCTGCGATGGCTGCTGCTGCTGGTGGTGCGGCGGCCGGCCGATCGGACCCGGCCCGGGAGGACCGCCGATGGCGCCGACAGCTCCGTACCCTCGACCGGGCCCGCCCGGCGCCGCCATTTGCGGCTGCAGGCCGTAGCTGCTGTAGCTCGCGATGAGCGCCGGGTTCGTGATGCCGTGCGGCAAGGCGGGCGAGGCCGACTCGCGGTACGGCGACGGGTAGCCGTGCGTCGGCGGGACCGGCGACGCGACGAAAGGCGACGACGCGTAGGCCTGGTGGATCGGCTGCGTCGCGAACGGCGACGGCGCCTGGCCCGGATAGCCAGGGTACAGCGCGTGCTGCTGCTGCTGCTGCGACATCGGCCGCTGCGGGGCGTACAGGTGCGGCGAGAACGGGTGCGACGCCGAGTAGCCCGCGATGGGCGACCGGCTCGGCTGCGGCGCGACCTGCCCGGGGAAGCCCGGGTATGAGTGCTGCTGCTGTTGCTGCTGCGAGTGACGAGGCGGTGCCGCCGAGGGCGACATGCTCGGGTCGACGGCGGCGGCCGACTCGTGCAGGAACGACGAGAACGACGGGGCCGCAGCGCGCAGCTTGGCGTCGTCCTTGGTGACGGCGGCCTGCTTGGCGAGCTCCTTGTGGTCGGCGTTCGAGTGGCCGTCCTCCGACTTGAGCTCGGCGAGCGAGCTCGGCAGCGCCTCGGACGGGTCCTCGTCGACGATGCCCTGGAGCGAGTTCTCGGGCAGGTTGGACGCCGCAATGTGGCGCGCGTGCACGCTCCCTTCCTCGGGCGCGGCAGACCAGACCGACGACGCCGTCGGGTCGAGCGCCGAGTAGGTGAGCTTCTTGCTCGTCCAAGATGCGGCGGCCGACGGCGACGAGGCGACCTGCGACAGGTCCTGCGGCTTGTACGGCGGCGACGATGGAGGCTGTGGGCCGGCAAGCAAGAGGAGAGTCAGGTCAGGCGAAACCTCGACGAGGCCGGGAAGGAAGAGAGAGGGAGAGGACGCACCTTGCTGAGCCCGTTGGCGTCCCTGCCGGGCGCGGTCGTCACCTTGCGCGGCGTCGCCTCGATCTTCTCGCCGTTGAGCGCGCCCGTGAACTTGGCCTCCTGCCCGCTGGCGCCGCTGAGCGCGAACGGCGCGGTCTCGGCACCGCCCTCGCCGCCCTCGCGCCGCCATGCTGCGCCTGCATCGGCCGCTCGGCCGTCGCCTCGAGGCTTGCCGCTGAACGGCGCGAAGCCCGCGTCGACGACCTGGCCCTCGGGCGGCGGCTGAGCGGGCTCAAAGCTCGTCGTCGCCGCCGGCGGTGCGGGCTCGGGCGCGACCTGGCGCACGAGCGCGACGCTCGAGATGCTGACGACGATCTCGGGCTCGACCTCGGGCTCGACGGCGCTCGAGCGCGGCGAGAAGCGCCGCTTGGGCAGGGCGACGACGTGGATGGGCTTGCCGTGCTTGTCGTACTTCTTGGGCATGAGCATGTCGTCGCGGTTGAGCCGGCGCGGGTTGACGTCCTTGAGGACGGGGTCCCACGAAAACGGGTACAGGGGCTTGGGGAAGCCCGGGTTGGTGAAGTTCTTGAGGACGCGAGCGGCGACAGGACGACGAGGAGGTTGGGCGGCTAGGCGGATCGTGTACTGGCGCCAGGCTGGGGGCGGCGACTGCGAGCGAGGGATGCGCGACGAGTGGTAGGGCAGGACGGGCTCGCGCGACTCGAACGCCGGGACGGGCGCGGCTTGACGGGCTTGACGAGGTGCGTCGGCGGCGCGACCACGTCCACGCCCGCGAGGCTCGGCCGGCGCCGGCAGCGAGACGACGGGCTGCTGCACCTGGGTGGCGGCATGTGCGGCGGCTGCTGCTGCGCGAGCGGCGGCCTTGCCTGCGCGCGTGCGCGGCGGCAGCTTGACCGTCGGGACCTCGACGAGGGGAGCGTCGACGGGCTCGGCGGCGGCGACGTCGGCCTTGGCCGCCGCCGCATCGGCAGACGCTCCCTCGTCCTTCGAGGACGCAGCTGTATCGCCGGCAGAGGCGCCCTCGGACGGCCGCGTCATGACGCCCTTGATGCGCGACATGAGGTCGTCAAACTGCGACACAGCGGGCAGCTTGTAGCCGTGCTTGGCGGCCGCGTTGGGGTCCTGGCGCTTGCGGTCCTGCGACGGCGAGGTCGGAGGCGAGACGAGGGCGAGGGCTGGCGGAGGAGGCGGCGTCGACGGCTTGGCGAGGTCGGCAGAGGGAGGGGGTGCAGCCTCGGCGGCGGGAGGGGAAGGCGATGGCGCAGCGGCGGTCGCGGCACCGACGGCTGCAGCCTTGGCCTCGGCCTGCGCGGCGAGGTGCGGCGGGAGCTGCCGTACAAGCGCACGAGCCGGGCCGGCTGGCGGTGCAGCGGCGGACGCGCTCGAGCGGCGCCACACGGAAGGCTGCGCCGCCGGCTGCTGCTGCGAGGCCGATGCACCGGACGGGGCGGAAGGACGAGGGAGGATAGTGGTCGGCTCGGGGACGGTGGCGGGAGGAGGAGCGGCGGCGGATGCCGACGGCCGCTCGCGCGCCTGGCGCCTCGACGACGCGCCGTCAGACGCCTTGCCGGTGGCAGCCGCGCTCGCCGCTGCAGCCTGCGACGGCAGAGGCTTGGCCGCGGCGCGCCACGACGTCGCCTTGTCCGCCGGCGCGACGGGCGGCCCGGGCTGCGCCGCAGCAACGCTCGGCCGCCGCTCCTTCTCCCGCTCCCTCGGCGCCGGTCGCGCAGCCTCCTCCTTCTCCTTCTTCTCCTTGGCCTTGGCCTCGTCGGCTGCCCTCATCTTCTCCTCGAGCTCCTGCGCCTTCTTCCTCGCGCGCTCCGTCTGCTCGAGCCGCTTCTGCTCCTCCTCCTCGCGGCGCTTGCGCGCTCGCTCGGCCGCCGCGTGCATCTCGCGAGCGTGCAGCTCCTCGATGCTTGGCTGGGGAGGAGCGGCGGCTTCTGGTGCGGCGCTCGGCGGTGCGGCAGCGGCGACCGCCGCTGCGGGTGCAGGTGCGGCGGACGACGTCGCGTCGGCGACGGGAGGAGCGGCGAGCGGCTGGGCCTGCTTCGCCGCTGCAGGACGAGTCGGTGACGTCGGGAGGACGGCCGATGCCGCCGGGACCGACGGGCGCCGAGAGCCACGAGACGGGCTCAGGGGGGCCTGAGCGGCCGCGGCGGCGCGCGCAGCCAAGTGCGGCGGCAGCTGGCGGTCCTGCGCCCCTGCTGCTGCCGCACCGAGGCCCGGCCCGGCATGCGCCGTCGAGCTGGGCCTGCGCTGGCCTGCGCCGCCCCACGCGAGCGGCCGCGCCGCCGGCTCGTGGGCACTCTCGCGCCGGCCGACAGGGTGCAGCGGCGCGTGCGAGTTCAGCCTCGGCGACGTCATGCTCGGACGACGGCCCGACGTCGGCGGCGGGACGTGGCCGCCGAGGGCGAGGTGCGGCGGGAGGTCGCTGTGGCCGCCGGTCCCGGCGCCGGCGCCCGAGCGGAGGATGCTCGTCGGCTCTGCGCCTGCGCGCCGTGGCGGCGGGTGTGCGGCATCGGGAGCGCCGGATGCGGCGGGCTCGAGCTTGCCGAGGCGGTCGTTGAACAGGTTGCGGTTCTCGCCGGCCGAGCGGGACGGTCGGCGCGGCCACGAGCGGTCGTAGTCGTCGCCGAAGCGCTCCTCGCGCCTCGGCGGATCGACGACCACGCCGGGAGCGAGCGGGCGCTCGCGCAGGGCGAGCTCACGCGGGCCGGGCTCGCGCAGCTCGTCGTCGCCGGCCGGCGTCGAAGGTGCGGCGTCGAGCTTGTACTGCGTGCCGTCGGCGAACTCGATCGTCGTGTCGAGGAAGTCGTCGTCGTCGGCCTGTCAGAGAGTGCGTGTCAGGTTTGTGACGAGAGGCGGCCGGGCGAGGAAAAGGGAGAGAGGGAGGACGACGCACCTCGTCCCAGTGCGTCGCATTCGGGTCCAGGTGCACGCCTCGGAACGCGTCGAGCTCCTCGAGCAAGTGCGCGTTGTGCGCCGCCGCCGCCGTCGCCCGGGCTTGCGAAGCACGCTCACGCGCCTGGACCTGGTCGGCCACGGCCTTTTGCCGCGCGTCCTTGGCTGCGTCGACGACGAGCATCGTCAGTGTCTGTCCGAGCCACGGAAGGGAGATAGGAAGAGAGGGTAGAGACGCACCGTTTGCCGCCTCCGCCGCCGTCGGGAAGTCCATCTCCATGTTCCTCGCGCCGCCCCACCCGCCTGGCCCGCCCGGACCTCCTCGCCCGCCGTGCGGCCCGCCCCTCATGCCGCCCGGCACGTACGCCTGCGTCGACGCCTGGCTCGGCGCCGCACGCTGCTCCTGCTGCTGTCCAAGCGGCGCAGGCCCGCTCGAGGACGCCGCTCCCGCCGCCGGCGACGAGCCCCACACGGGCCCGCCCTTTGCGCCCTGCGCGCCGCCCGCCCCTCCCGCCGCGCTCGAGCCCTGCGCGCCCATCGCACTCGACGACGAGCCGGGCGTCGGCGTCGAGGGCTTCTTGGCGCCCCAGCCCGCCGTGCTCGTGGCAGGCGAGGACGAGGTCGACGAGGCGCCCGTGCCGAGCGACAGCGAGGGACCCGACGAGAGCTTGCCCGCGACGAGACGAGGGTGCGTGCTCGAGATGGGGGTAGGTGCGGGCGAGGTGGCGACACGAGCTGCAGGTCAGGTAGAGAGGTCAGTCGAGCGCCTGAGGAGGGAGGAGGGAAAGAGGGGACGCACAGATGACGGGCTTGACCTCGGGCTTGGCCTTCTCGCCAGCCTTCTCGAGGAACTTCTTGTTGACGGCGAGCGAGCTCTGGAACTTCTTGGCCGGCGGCGGCCGCTCGGACGACGACGAGGTTGCGCCTGGGCCGGGCGAGGCAGAGAGCGCCGGGCTGGCGGTACGCGCGGCGGCGGCCGATGTCGAGGGAGCTGGAGATGAGGAGGAAGGCGGTGGTGGGGTCGGTGCGGGCCAGTCGGCGGCGGGTGCGGCGGCGTCGGTGACGGACAGGGACGGGGGAGGAGGGGCGAGGAGGGAGCTCGTCTCGCGCGCCGGGTTGCTCGGCTTGGGCTGCTCGAGCACAACACCGCTGCCCTCGACGGCGGGCGTCTCAGGCGAGTCCTGCGGCGCTGCGCTGGCGCGCACGGCGGACGACTCGTCGTCGCCGGTCGAGGCGAGAGCCGATCCCGCGCGGTCGCCGCCCTGGGCGGACGCTGTGCCCGGCTGAGCGTCGCTGACGCTGGTGCCGAGCTCGTGCACACCCGCTGCAGGCCCCTCCTGGGCGAGCGCGTGCTGCTGGTCCTCCCCCGCGGGGGCATCTCCCTGCGGCCCTCGTGCGCCGTCGCCGCCCTGCTGCGCCGCGGTGCCCTGCGTGCTGACCCCTGCACCGTCCTGCTCGCCCTGCGACGCGCCCTGCTGCTGCCCCTCGGGCACGCGAGGCCCGTGGCCGGCGTCCTCCCCCCTCGTCGTCGTCGCCTGGTCGTGGTCGTCGGTCGTGGTCGCAGGCGGGCTCAATGGGTGCGGGTCGGCGTGTGCTGGAGGGAGAGGTGACTCGGCATGCTGCATCAATGGGTCGAGCGGGGCAGTTGCTGGGTCGTCCGAGTCGTGGTCGAGGGCGGTGGGGACGACGAGGCGAGCCGGCGAGCGACCCCTCGATCGCACGTCTACCGCTTGCACAGACGCACGAGAGAACGCCAGAGACAGTCCTTGCACACAGTCGTACACACAGAGAGACGCGCGCACAGCGACAATGCCGAACCCGATCGTACACAGACCCTCCTCGTCCTCGTCCTCCTCCTTCTCGCGAGAGCCCGCCGCTAGACGACCCCGATCCTCGCCTCCTGCGCCCGCTCGTTCGCCTCGTCCTCGCGCCCCCGCGCCTGCGCCGTCTCGGCCGCTGCGCCGCCCTCGGCCTCGGCCTGCTGCTGGTCGAAGAGGACCTGCTGCGCCGTCGCGCGCGCTTGCGAGATGGCGTCGGCCTGGGCGCGCATGCTGCGAGAGGAAGCGGCGAGCATCCAGTGTCAGTCTTGCTGAAGGTCGACAGGGACCAGGGAAGCGCCGTAGAGACCACGACAGAGAGAGAGCGAGAGGGACGGACCGGTGCGTGATGTATTCCTGGCCGACGATCTCGACGCTGCGCCGAATGATCTCGACCATGGCGTCCTCGACCCACTCGTTGTCTTCGAACGGGATGTCGAGCCACGTCGCCGGCATGCTCTGGCTCGTCGACGCGTGCACGAGCTTGTGCGTCGGGTCGCGCAGCACGAGGAGGAAGAAGAGCGCCTTGGTCGACTGGGGCGAGCTCGACGACGAGTCGGACGAGCTCGACGCGAGGAGGGACGGCGGGAGGGATGGGAGCGGGGCGAGGACGGGCTGGATGCGCAGGTAGACGGGGCAGGTCGTGACGGGGACAGTCGCGCCGTTGTCGCTCTCCGAGGGCGGGACCGGAACGTGGTACGTGTCCTTGATGAGCTGGTCGAGGCTCGCCTGCGAGTCATGCGCGTCGAGTCAGTCGAGAAGGCGAGAGGGGAGGATGGTGGCTCTGGGCTCGAGACGCACCTCGGCGAGTTTCCAGCCCTCGGACATTCCGTCGACGAGGTTGAGGTCGCGCACGTCGTCGTCCTCGGACACGTTGGGCTTGTCGCCGGAGGCGCTATTGACGATGAGCGTGCCGCCCTCGATTTGCTCCATGATCTGTTCGCGGGGGAGGAAGCGCGGCCGTCAGGACGTGCGCCGGGTCGGAAGGAGACGAAAAGAGAGGGCGAGACGGACCTTGGCGAGGCCGCGGTAGACGAGCGTCTCGACGCCGTCGTACCCGACCATGTCGTGGCTGAGGCTGACCTGGATCACCTCGTGCTCGGCGATCGGCGGCGCGACGGCGTTCAGGAGGTCGGTCAGGGAGCGCAAGGTTGTCGACTTGAGGTCCTTGCCTGTGCACACGCCGAGGAGCGTCAGTGCTGAACCCTGAAAGGGAGAGGGGAAAGGCCGAGGAGGGGACGCACCGAGTTGGTCGAGGTGCGCGCCCTTGGCGTACGACATGACGCCCTCGCTGTACTTCTTGACCTGCTCGTTCTCTCCGAGCTTCTTGATGAGGCCCTCGCCGAGCCCGGCAATGCCGCCCGCGGCGCCGGCGCCCGCCGCCGCCGTCTTGACCTGCTCCTCGGCGGCCGTGCGCGCCTGCTGCGCGAGGTGCGACGCCTGCTGGACGACCGTCGTCGCCTGGGACCACATGGACGACCATCCCCAGCCGCCGGCGGCTTGAGCCTGCTCGGCGGGCACCTCGGCCTGCTGCTGCTGCTGCTGGCGGTCGGCGTGCGACGGGGCCGGTGCGGGAGGGGCGGCGGCGGCGGGTGCGGGCGCAGCTGCGGATGCCGATGCGGGCGTGCGTGCTGCTGCCGACCTCGGGCTCGCGCTCGCGCCCCCTGCGGCCGTCCCGACGCTCCTCGCGCTGCGCACGCTGTCGGTGCTCCTCCTCGGCGGGGCGGCGGCGCCGGTGACGGCCGCCGTGCCCGCCGCGGTGCCGCTCAGGTTGTTGCGGCTGGTGGACCGACCGAGGTTCGAGGGCACGCTCGGCTTCTTGTCGAGCGGGCGGGGCTGAGTGGCCGTGGTCGGGGTCGACGAGCGCTGGGTGATCTCGTCGAGGAAGTCGAGGACGCTTTGGGCCTCTTTGGCGTTGGCGCCGGCGGTGGCCGAGCCCTGGGCGGGAGCGTGGGCGGTGGCGGCAGGGCGGGTGCCCGAGGTGGACGAGCCGAGGGCCGAGTGGTTCGAGGTGGAGCGGGGAAGGGTCGACGACGAGGACGAGGTCGGGGGCTTTGAGGGCTGGGGCGCGTTCGAGTAGGTGTCGAGCGAGTCGAGGAACTGGAGGACGTCGTCGCGGTTCCTGCAGGGGCGGCAGGGCAGGTCAGATCTGGATGTGGAGATGACGAGACGAGGGGGCGCACCTGGACGAGGTCGAGGTGCGGGGCTGGCTGGCAGACATGGCGAGTCGGGTGTGTGGCACTCTGGTGAGCGTACGGGCTGGCTCACTAGCGTGCTCGGAGGTGAGGAGGGAGCCAAGCGAGGTCGCCCGCCTCGTCCAACTGGCGCTCGCTCTCGTCCACGCGCCTCGTTGCACTCAGAGCTACTCAGCATGGCCGCACGTGCATCCCTCGGAATCGCAGACATCGCCCACAGGTCCGTCCCACCCTCTCTCGTCCCTCGTCCTCTCCCCCTCTCCTCCTCCCTTCGCCTCTTCATCTCTCGATCGCCCTCTCGCCCCGCCACGCTTCTCGATCCAGACGCACGATCGCCTTGAGCGACGGACAGCCGGCTGTCGTGCCGCTGCGACCGCCAACAAGCTGTGCGAGGTTGCGCCGCCTCGCTCGACCTGTCCCCCTTCCTCGCCCGATCGCCTCGTTCACCCTCCACCAACCCGCGCGAGATCCCTCAGCAACCTCGCCATCATCCCTCGTCATAGCCTGGGACCAGTGCTGACCGTCTGCATCCCGCGCACCTCCCCTCCTCGCAGGGTCACCGTCTCTGGCCTCGCCGCCCTCTCGGTCTACGGCCTGTACGGCATGTGGGCGACCCACACGGCCACGATGAAGGCCTCCGAAGAGGCCTACAAGGCCCACCTCCTCGTGCGTCCAGCTTCTCTCCCTCTCACTCTGCGGGCCGAGAGACTGACACCCTCGGACCCGTCTCTCCAATTCGCCGCGCAGGAGGAGGCCAACAAGACCAAGCTCGCGTCCGACCCGCTCCTCGAGGGCTTTGTCGACCCGCCCCCGACCCGACCGTCCTGAGCGGCGCCCTCTCGTCACCCTGGCTCTCTCTCTCGAACCTCTCGCTCGTTCCCTCTTGTCTATGTAGCCCTCGCTCGCAATGCATCGTTCCTCGACCGTCTAGCTCGCCCGACGAAAGCGAAGAGAACCTCTACTTGCCAATGCAGAACCCGCGAAAGATCTCGCCGAGGACCTCCTCCGTGTCGACCATGCCCGTGATCTGCCCGAGCGACCGCACGGCGTACCGCAGCTCCTCGCCCGCGCTCACGATCTCGTCCGAGGGGAGGTCTGCGGCACGAGTGAGAGAGGGTCAGGGCGTTCAGAGCGATGAGGGAGAGGGAGAGAAGGGAAGAAGAGGGACGCGCCGAGGAAGGCGTCGAGCGAGGCGAGCGTGTCCTGCAGGGGGCGGCGCGTTAGGACGACGGGAGAGAGAGAGAGAGGAAGAGCGAGAGCGCACCTCGAGATGCCGACGATGCCGCTCTTGCGTGACGATAGGCGTTTCCTCGAGCGCGTCCGAGAGGTCGAACCTGCGGGGTCAAAGCGGCTCGTCAGGATCCCTCTCGACGGCGTCACGACGACGAGGGTCTGCGCGGCTGCGACGTACCGCCGCTTGACCTCGCCCTTGAGCCGCTCGGCAAGCTGCGCGAGCCCTCGGCCGTCCCTCGCGCTCACGAGCGCGAACGCCCCTTCTCGCTCCCGCGCGCCCGCCACCGCCCAGCTCTTGCCCTCCTGCCGCAGGTACGCCTCGAGGGCGCCCAGTTGCGCCGCTGTTGGTGGCTCGACATGCGCGTCGAGCTTGTTGAGGACGATGAGCGTGTGGTGGTCGATGAGGGAGAGCGTGAGTGGGTCGATGACGGGCGCGGGTGCGCGTGCGGCCGGCGTCGAGGAGGACGAGGGCGAGGATGAGGGGAAGATCTCGTCGAGGGGAAGGACGCAGAGCTTGATGTCGGCCGTCTCGGCCCTGTGTCGCTCGAGGTGAGTCCCGCCTGTCACGCCGGCCAGCTCGAGAGAGGGAGAGAGAGAGGGACGCACTTGGCCACCGCCCGCTCGATCCCGATCGCCTCGACCTCGTCGCCTGTACTCCTCAACCCGGCCGTGTCGGCGACGTGTACCGGGAAGCCGTGAAAGTCGAGCGCGAGCTCGACGACGTCGCGAGTTGTGCCCGGGACCGCCGTCACGATGGCGGCTTCTCGTTGTGCTGTGGGACGCGAACAGGTCGTTGGGGATGCTCGATGGGAGAAGGAGAGAGAGAAGGGGGCGCACCGAGCCAATTGAGGAGCGAACTCTTGCCTGCGTTGGGCGGGCCGATGATGGCGAGGTGGATGCCCTGCCGGAGGATCTCGCCGCGTCGACCGTCATCGAGGTACTTGCGTATTCTCGAGCTGAGCGTGTTGACCTTCTGCCGAGCTGCGGCCGTGTTGAACGAGGTGAGTGGCAGGCCCGGCTGAGCGAACGATGGGGAGAGAGGGGGAGCGAGCGCACCTTGCTCGTAAACGCCCTCAGAAATGCCCTCGTCCTCGCCAAAGTCGATGAGCGCCTCGATGAGCGCCATGGCCTCGATCGCCTCGCTGCGCATCGAGTCGTACGCGACGCGCATCTGGCCCTGTCGGCGCGCGAAGAACAGGTCAGAGCGTCCTCGCCTCGAGCGAGACGGGGCGTGGACAGTCTCGACGCACACTGGCCTGCCTCGCCGCCAGCTTTCTCTGCGCCTCGGTGTCGGCCTCGACGAGGTCGCGGATGCCCTCGACCTCGGTGAGGTCCATCTTGCCCGCCTCGAACGCGAGCCGAGTGAACTCGCCGGGCTCGGCGATGCGGAAGGTGTTGCCGAGGGAGGGGAGGAGCCGCAGGAGGAGCTGCATGAGGGCGGGGGAGCCATGAAGGTGAAGCTCGAGGGTCGGCTGGGCGGTGAGGGCCGAGTGAGCTGCGGAGGAGGAACAGGTGAGCGAGGTACGGGGCCGAGGCGAGGCGGCGGGGGGCGAAAGACGCACAGGGAAAGTAGAGGACAACACCCTCGTCGAGGACCTCGCCGTCTGGGGCGACGATGCGCCGCAGGATGGCCTTGCGCTCTGGCGGCTCGCTCCTGGTGCGGTTGGTGTGGGTCCTGCCGCGCGGCGGCCGCGTCATCTTGCGCCAGACGTCGAGGGCATCTGGGCCCGAGATGCGCAGGATCGAGATGGCCGACTTGCCCTTGCCCGTCGCAGGCGCGAAGATGGTGGGGAGGCGGAAAGAAGGAGGGGGAGGAGGCGGTGCAGGTCGAGACGAGGCGGGGCGAGTGTGGGCGACTCGCGGCGAGCTATAGCTGCCCTGGCAGGTGCAGGGGAGCCGTGCAGAGGCCGTAAGCGCTCGCAGCATGACGAGAGCTGGTGCACAGCTGGTCGAGGCCGGCGACGACGACCAACGTTCCTCATTCTGCTCATTCACACCGCCGAGCGAGCTCTGCAAGGCCCGCTGCCTGCTCTTCTCTGCTTCCTCGCCGCCTGCCCCAGCGCACGACCCGCCCCGACCTCACCTCGCCAGCTCCCGCCTCGTCCAATTCCCCATCTATGAGCGGCCGACGCTGCTTCATCGACTTTGCTGCGGGCGACGCCGACGCGCACAAGGTCGAGCTGAGCCGCTATCAAGCGCTCGCGCGGTGGCTCGAGGCGAGCGGAGCTAAGTACGGGCTCGCGCGGCGGCTCGACGAGTTGGACGATGCGGCGAGGGAGACTCTCGTCGCCGTGTACGAGGGCGAGACTCAGGTGCGCTCGACCCACTTCCTCAATCACAGGAGGAGGACCTGACAGCCTCTCCCACAGATCGTCCTCACCCCTGCCGACCTCTCGCCCCCGACCTCGCTCCTCCTCCCTCGACTGTACCTCCAGGTCTCGTCCTCGCCCGGCCTCAAGAAGACGTCGGCCAGCTTTCTCGCGCTCCTGACAGACGAGAAGAAGCTCGTGTCGAAGCGCGCGCCCCATCCGCCTTTGCGGTACCGCGGCACGCCCGTCTTCCGCCTCGACAAAGGGTTCGTCGCGCAGACGGGCGACGTGACGAGGCAGGACGGGTCTGGCGGCGAGTCGATCTGTGCGTCGAAGCTCTCTTTCTCTCCTTTCACAAGGCGGAGCTCACACACCCTTGCGGCGCAGACGGCGGCACCTTCAACGACGAGAAGGACGGGCTCAAGATCCCGTTCCAGCTCGGCACCGTCGCCATGGCCAACTCGGGCAAGAACTGTGCGTGCTCGTCAACCCTCTCCCTGTGTACCTCTCCCTGAGCGCCAAGTGACTCGTCTCTCTCTCTCTCCTCGTGCAGCCAACACGTCCCAGGTCCGTCCGGACCATCTCAAACTTGTGCCCGCCTCCTCACGCTCACCGTCGAGCCTGTCCTGCAGTTCTTCGTCACTCTGACGTCCGACCCGGTCAAGCTCAAGAAGCTCACGGGCAAGTACGTCGCGTTCGGCCAGGTGGACCTCGAAGACGACGGCTCGCGAGCGTGCCTCGAGCGGCTCGACGCGCTCGCGGACGGCAGAGATGGGACGGCGGTCAAGGTCTGGATAGACGACTGCAACGCTGTCGCGTAGAGCCTACGCTGCGCGAGCAGGAGAGCCGCAGGAAAGGTGAGACGCGCGGCCGAACCTCTTCAGCGAGCGGCGAGAAAGCGCAGCTCGCTCGGCCTCGAGCACCTCGGCTCGCTGTGCCCCGCTTCCGCCTGTTCTGCGGCTGCATCTGCCAGCAACGCTCGCCGTCGGCACGTCGGGAGAATTCGGCGCCAAAGTTCCGGCGACGCTATCTGTCCCCACCCGCTCTTCGCGCTCCTCTCCCTCCTCTCCCACAACACTGGTCGCCAGTGCTGCGCCACCAGGTCGTCCAGCACAGCTCACTGCACGCTTCGAGCAGCTCCCGCACCCGCCAGCGCATCAGCTCGACTCGCTTCATCATGGCCAAGCGCGCTCTCGTCACCATCGGCTGCGACGTCGACAGCTGCGCCGGATGGCTCGGCTCGTACCACGGCGAGGACAGCCCGAACGACATCTCGCGAGGCGTGTTCGCCGCCGAGGTCGGCGTCCCTCGCCTCCTCAAGCTCTTCCGCAAGTACGGCATCAAGGCGTCGTTCTTCATTCCCGGGCACACGCTCGACTCGTTCCCCGACGAGATGGCCGCCATCGTCAAGGACGGTCACGAGGTCGGGCTTCACGGGTACAGCCACGAGAACCCGGTCGCAATGACCATCTCTCAGCAAAAGGAGGTGCGTCCCTCGTTCGCCAGCTTCTTCTGCGACCTGCGACTGTGCGACCTGCGACTGACAGGCTTCCTCCCTGCAGATCCTCGACCACACGTTCGATCAGCTCACCAAGCTCGCCGGCAAGCCTCCAGTCGGGTCGGTCGCGCCGTGGTGGGAGTCGTCCAAGGAGGGCATCGCTCTCCTGCAAGAGAAGGGGATCCTCTACGATCACTCGAGCCAGGCGCACGACTGCCTGCCGTTCTACACGCGCACCGAGGACACGTGGACCAAGATCGACTACTCGGCCGACAGCGCCAAGTCGTGGATGAAGCCGCTCGTCAAGGGCGAGCTCACGTCGCTCGTCACCATTCCCGCCAAGTGCGTCCAGCTCTCTCTGTATCACGCTCGACGTCGAACCCGGACTGACGACTGTACGCTCGCAGCTGGTACCTCGACGAGTGAGCCCGGCCGTCCTTCCCAATCCACGTCGGCGAGCTCGGCTGACTCTTCCTCGCAGCCTTCCGCCGCACATGTTCATCAAGAAGTCGCCCAACAGCCACGGCTTTGTCGATGTGAGGACGACGGTTGACCTCTGGAAGCGGTGAGTCGGCAACGTCCTCTGTTTCAGCCGACCCTTGCTCCGCCGAATTCCTGCCTTGACGCTCGCGCGCAGCCTGACTGACCCACTCTCGTTCCTCCAGGCACTTTACCTACTTCTACCGCGAGCACGACTGGCACGGTGAGTCCCCTCATCCTCCACTTCTTCCCCCTCGTCCACCCCAGCGAGCTCACCCCTGCCCGACCCGCAGTTTTCCCCCTCACGATCCATCCCGATACATCTGGCCGCCCACACGTCCTCCTCGCCCTCGAAGAGTTCATCGAGTGGCTCCAGACGCACGACGGCGTCGAGTTTGTCACGATGGAGGCGGTCGCCAACGAGTTCCGCGAGAAGTTCCCGTACCCAGGCGAGCAGGCCAAGTACGTCAAGGAGGCGAGCAAGGAGGGCCAGCAGTAGATATGCGACGTGTAACAATGAGCTGTCCTTGCAGGTTTGGGTGCCCGAGGCAGCGGTGGAGCGAGAGGCAGTCGACGCGGCTCGACTTGAGAAGGTCGACGGGCGCGAGCATTTTTCGGTCGCGTGTCGATGCAACGAGGCTGTTGAGCTTCTCGAGGACGAGCGCGAGAGGATCTGAGCATCGCAGCACGACGCGAGGACGCAGCGGCGAGCGGGCGCAGGACAGTGACGACCTCTCTTTCGTCGAGGTCCGAGCGCCGAACCTCGAGTTCTTTCACGACGCGCTCGCTCTCAAGAGTTCGGACAGAGAGGGAAAGGCTGCTCGTTCGTCTAGTTGCACGCACGCCCTCGACGGAAGCCGAGTTCTACGAGCGGAAAGATCGGACGAGAGGAACGAAAGAAAGGCACGAACAGCAGGCAAGCGGGAACTCCTCCTCCGCCTTCTTCTCCTCCTCCTCCTCCTCGTCAAAGGCGACGACGCTCAGACGACCTCCTGGCCCTTGTCGTTCGACGACGACGAGGCGTCGATCGGCTTGCCGAGGACCGACGCGAGCCACGCCTCGCCCTCCTCGATGTCGTCCTCGACGTTGGCCGCCTTGACGACGGGCTCGTCGCCGACCTTGAGGCTCGCGAACGACTGGGCGAGCTCCTCGTCGCGAGTCGGGGTCGAGGGAGCGTCGGCGTCGCCCTCGACCTTGTCGCTCTCGGGCTTGGGCGAGAGGTCGGCGACGGCAACGGCGGACGGCTTGGACCAGCTCGTCTCGGGCGACGACGGCGTAAAGCCCGAGTCGTAGCCGTGCAACGACGTGATCGTGTCGACCTCGGCCGGGGCGTCCTGCGCCTTGGCCTCGTTGTCGACGTCGGCGACGGCGCGCGGCGTGCGCGTGCCCTCGGGCTCGCTCGTCGTCGCGTGCGGCGAGGGAGCACGAGCCGACTCGCCGATGACGACGGGCTCGGGCGACGACGGCGCAGCGGCGGGACCGGCCGAGCTGCCCCAGCCCGCCGAGCTCGCGGCGGGCTCCTTGGCGGGGGCCGCAGCACTCGAAGCCGACGCCGCGGCTCCCCAGCCCGTCGGCGCCGGCGCGCTCGGCGCCGACGCAGCGGGACCGGCGCCCCAGGCGGCGGGACCGGCCGAGGAGGTCGACGCCGGAGCAGCGGCTCCCCACGCCGGCGCGGGCGAGCCAAAGTCGGTCGGCGCCGAGGACGAAGGAGGAGGAGCAAAGACTGCACGGCGACGGCGTGTCAGTAGATGCGTAGGGACAGGATGGGCGAGAGAGTAGGACGCACTCGAGCTGCCGCCGTCGAGGAAGGCCTTGAAGTCGTCGCTCACGATCTGGTCGTCGCGGCCGAAAATCTGGAGGATGTCCTGGCCGATCGCTGTGGACGCCGGTTGTCAGAGCCTGCTCGAGACCCTGCAACTGAGAGAGGGAGAGGACGTACTCATGTCGCGAGAGCCCGAGAGGAACGTGATGGCCCGACCGGTCGCGCCGGCGCGAGCCGTACGGCCGATGCTGCGTACGACAAGGCTGTCAGAGCCTGCGCCGAGTAGAGAGAAGGAGAGAGGGCTCGCGACGCACCGGTGGACGTAGTCGGAAGCGCTCGACGGCGCGTCAAAGTTGAGGACGAGCGTGACGGCCGGGATGTCGAGACCGCGTTGGGCGACGTCGGTCGCGCACAGGATCGGCATGGTGCCCTTGCGGAACTCGTTGAGCGCCCAGTCACGCTCTTCTTGGCGCTTGTCGCCGTGGATCGAGACCGCCTCGAACGCGCCGTTCTCGGGCGCGCGCAGCCAGTCGCACAGGTCCTGGGTCGAGCGCTTGGTCGAGCAGAAGACGAGGACCTTGCCGCGCTTGTCGGCCTCGGCGCGGAGAAGCTCGAGGAGCCTGCGGGTAGAAGGAGGTCAGTGTCGCCGCCTCGCAGGAGGACGAGACGGGGAGAAGGAGAGAGAGGCCGACGCACTTGTCCTTCTTGTCGCGCATGCCGCGCTCGCAGATGAAGACCTCCTGCTTGATGGCGCGGTTGGCCGTCACCTCGTCGTTGCCGATCGTGACCCGGGCGGCGTCCCTGACGAACGTCTTGGCGAGCTCGCGCACCTCGACAGGCCACGTGGCGCTGAACATGAGGACTTGGCGGTCGGGACGCACGGTCGCAAAGATCTCGCGCAGCTCCTCCTCGAACCTGTGAGACGGGGAGAGGTCAATAAAGGCGCCGGTGACGCTGAGGGCAGGACGAGGGAGAATTGGACGCACCCCTCGTAGACCATGCGGTCGGCCTCGTCGAGGACGAGGTACGTGACGCGCTCGAGCTGCAGGCGGCGAGAGGGAGGATGACGAGGGTCAGGACGGGTCTGCTCGGTCATGGCTCGTCGCCGCCGAAAGAGGATCCGAGGACGCACCTTGACGTCGTCAGTCGAGAGGAACTCCATGAGGCGGCCCGGCGTGGCGATGAGAGCGTCGATGCCGCGGTGTATCGTGTCGAGCTGCGAGAACTTGGGCGTGCCGCCGTAGCAGGCGCCGTACTTAATGCCGTCCTTGCTCCCAATGGCAGTGCACTCGCGAAGGATCTGCGTGACGAGCTCGCGGGTCGGGGCCATGACGAGGGCGACTGCGGGCGAGGAGGGACGACGAGGGAGGTGTGAGCGGCGGTCGCCGACGAGGACGAGAGGGAGCAACGACGCACTAGGACCAGACTCGGCGGTGGCTTGAGGCTGAGCGAGGATGTGGGCGACCATGGGCACGGCGTAGGCGAGCGTCTTGCCCGAGCCCGTTTCCGAGATGGCGCTGTGGGACAAGGAGCTCGAGGTCAGGTCCGTGAAGATCAGGCACGAGGAGGTGGACGCAAGGGTGCGAGAGGGAGGGAGGGAGACGCACATGAGGTCGCGGCCCGAGCAGGCCATCGGGAGCGACTGGCTCTGGATGGGCGTCGGCTCGGGGAAGCGCTTCTCCTGGACGTACTGGGCGACGCCGTCGAGAAGCTGGGCCTCGACCCAGTTCTGGGCGGGACGAGGCGCGTCGCCGCTGACCGACACCTTCTTCTCCTCGCGCCACGCGTCGACCTCGTGCTGCGGGCGCTCGACGGTCGCCTTGTGCGGCACGAAGAAGTCCTGCGAGAGAGAGAGCTTCGTTAGTGCCTGTGCATCGACGAGGGGAACGAGGGAGGGAAAAAAGGAGGGCGGACCTTCTCAAACGGCGGCAGCTTGACGTTCTCAAAATCGATGGTCGGGAGCTCGGCGAGGAACGGACCTGCTCGGGATACAGGTATCAGTCAAAAGGTGCATAGGGAGGACCATGGGCGAGAGTGAGCGTACCTTGGTCCCTCCTCGGCGGTCCACCACCCGAGAAGCCGCCTCCTCCGCCCGTCGAGCCGTAGCCCTCGGCGCCGCCGCCGCCGAACCCACCCGAGCGCCTCGGCGCACCGTTCCCTGTGGGCGAGAGCCGAGTCAGGGAGGAACGAGGGGAGGGGGGAGAGGATGAGCCGAACGCACCGCCCGCCTCGCCGCCGCCGCTCGAGCCGTACCCGCCGCCGCCCATGTCGGAGCGCTCGCGAGGCGGCCCGAAGCCTGCACGAGAGGAACATGAGCGTGGTACGAGGAGGAGGGTGGGAGAAGAGGGACGCACCGCCGCCGCCGCCGTAACCACCGCCGTCGCGACGAGGAGGACGGTCGAAGCCTGCTCGTCGAAAGGGTCAGAACGCCTCGACGGGCATAAGAGAGCAGAGACGTACCGCCGCGTTCGCCGCCGCCGCCGGCCTGGCCCCACGCTGCGGACGAGCAACCGCAGAGTCAGTCTCGGGAGGCTCGAGCGAGGAGGGAGAAGGGGACGCACAGCTGCCGCCGCCACCACCGCCGCCGTAGCCTCCTCCTCCTCCACCGCCGCCGTAGCCCTGCTCGCCCTGCGACTGCTGCTCGCGACGCGGCCCGCCGAAGCCGCCGCTGTCGGGCTTGGCGCCCCAGGCGCCGCCGCCGCCGCCGCCGCCGCCGCCCGACGCCGGCGAGGGAGCGCCGCCCCAGCCCTGCCCACCGCCGCCGCTCTGCTCGCGACGAGGAGGAGGAGGTCCACCGCCGTAGGCCGACTGGGCAGGAGCGCCGTACGAGTCGCGCGAGGGCGGAGCGGGCGCGCCGTTGCCGCCGCCCCAGCCGGCCGAGCGGTCGGCGACGCCGCGGTCGCCGTTGTTGCGCATGTGCGGCGCGGCGTCGCGGTCACGAGGCGGGCCGCCGAAGCTGCCGCCGTCGGCCTGGGAAGAAGGAGGACCGCGAGCTGTGGGCGAGGTGCGAGGGTCAGGGTATGCTCCTCGTTCGGCATTCGAGAGGGAGGAAAGAGGACGCACGGGCACCGCCCCAGCCCTGGTCACCACCGCCGTTGCCGCCCGACGAGTACCCGCCGCCCTGAGGCGCACCGCCGCCCCACCCACCGCCGCCGCCCTGCGAGGGCCGTCCGCCGCCGAACCCGCCCGACGGCTCGCGCTGCTGCTGCTGCTGGCGAGGCGCGCCGTACGCGCCCGAGTCGCCGCCACCGCGACCTCCTCCACCGCCGCCCCATCCACCGCCCGAGTCGCCGCCGCGAGGAGGAGGAGGAGCCGAAGCCGGGCTCGAGGCCGAGGACGGGGCTTGAGCGGGAGCGGCGGCGGGCGCGCCCCAGCCCGAGTACGACGGCTGTTGGGGCTGCTGCTGCTCGGGAGGCTGCGAGCCGCTGTAGCCTGCGCGGCGGGCGGAATCTGCGGGTGCGGGAGAGGGGCGGTGCGTGGAGGAAGGACGTCAGTCGCCGAACGGACAGGAGGGAGCTTGGGCCCGAAAGGGAGGGTGGGACGCACCCCAGCCGGAAGCCATGCTGTTGCTGAGTCGAGTGCGAGGTCTTGCGAGGGTGGAAGAGGGCGAAGAAGGCGAGGTCGAGAGAGCGAGTGAGGGAAAGGAGGGAAAGAGAGCGAGCGACCGACACCGACACGAGGCTCGAGGCGCGTGCCCAGGTCCGCGCACTCGCCGGTCAACGCCCGTGTCCCACCTTTGCGGCACGACGACGACGAGGAAGCAGAGGGCGCAACACAAACAAGCGCAGGCAGCGACAGAGCGAGTGCGAGACAAAGTCGAGACGAGCAAAGGTGCTCGTTGCTCGCGCTCGCCATAGCGAGCGATTGCCAGTCTCGAGCAGGGCTGCAGAGCCACACAGACGCATCTATGCACAGATCCGAGAGACAGAGAGACCCGCACGCCGCCGGCCCCTGCTCTGCCGCCTCACGCACCGACCTCCTCCTGCGCCGCCGCCGCCGACGACAACCCGCCCTCCTCCCTCACCGCTTACCCCTCGAGCGCCTCGCACACCCTCCTCCCCTCCCTCCTCCCACTGATGAACGCCCCGGCAACGCTCCCGTGCTGGTCGACGTCCGTGTGCTCGCCGGCCCACCCGAGTCGTCCGCCCCACGTCGGCCGGCTCACGATGTGGAAGTCGAGCGGCGACGCACGCGTACCGTCCGACGACGACGTGAGCGGCGTCGGGGCCGAGGTCGCGCCGAGCGAGAAAGGGTCGCGCAACCAGGTCGTGACGTGCGTCGTCGTCGGTGCGGGAGGAGCGGGTGCCGAGGTCGAGGGAGGCGAGGGGGCGGCGGCGCTCGCAGCGTCGACGGAGGAGGGTGGAGGAGGCGAGGACGAGGGCGAGAGGCGACGGACGAGGTACTCGTGGAACGCCGCCGCGACCTCGTCGACCGAGTACCGCGCGATGACCTGCGCCGCTGCGGCGCCGACGTAGGCGAGGAGCGTCGGGTGCGGCGTCGCGCCGATGCGCTCGAACGACGCGACGGGGATGACGGTGCGCTCAAAGACGTCGGCGAGCGTCTGGGCGCTCGACGCGGGCTCGTCGGACAGCGGGAGAAGGAGGAACGAGCCCGTCTCGGCAGGCGAGGGCCACCAGGCCGACGGGTACGACAGGACGACCTTCTCGAGGGTGCCGGTGCGCATGCGCTCGATGGCCGAGAGGAAGGCGGGCGAGAGAGGGGGCGAGAAGGTGGGCGGGCTCTGCTGGAGGACGGCGTGCGGGATGGTCGAGATGACGGCGCGCGCCGTGTACGAGTCGCCGTCGCGCGTCGAGACCCGCACGCCGTTGCCCTCGCCGAGGTCCTCGACGCTCGTCACCTCGGCGCCGAGCCGCACCTGGCCGCCGCCGGCCTTGACGTCTGCGACGAGCGTGTCGGCAATTTCGCCGTACCCGTTGAGCGGAAAGGCGTCGGTGCCCTTGAACCCTTGCTCAAAGCCGGCGTACTGGGCCGCCTGGTCCTCGAGGCGGGTGCCCGCGCCGATCTCGGCGGTGCGAGCGAGGGCGACGAGGCGCGGGTCGCGCTGGAGGGTCGGGAGGAGGAGCGAGGCAATGGAGGCGTCGGGGGAGGTGCCTGCCGCCGGGGCAAACGCGTTCTGGGACGACGTGGCGAGAAGAGAGGTGGCGTCTGCTTCAGCGAGAGGCCCTTGGGCGCCGACGACGAGGCCCTTTGCGCCTTGCGGGATGTGGACGTCGAGGTCGAGGTCGCGAGTGATGAGGGCTGCGACCGGGTTGCCCTCGCGGAAGCCGTGGACCATGGAGCCGCCGAGGTCGACGGGCTGCGACTGGACCCTCGTTGTGTGGATGCGGCCGCCGGTGCGGTGACGAGCCTCGAGGAGGAGGACGCGGAGGTGGGCACGCGACAGCTCGCGGGCGGCTGCGAGGCCGGCCATGCCCGATCCGATGATGAGCGCGTCGTACAGGGCTTGTGTCGAGGCCATCGAGTGTGCGAGTGTGGGTGAACGAGGAGGGACAAGGAGAGGGACGAGGTGGGGGAAGCTCTCGACCTCGTCCAACCCTCGCTCGCTCCACCTGGGCAGCGCAGAGGTCCTCGATCCACTCAAGGTGAGCTCGCGTACCGTCCCTGCTCCAACAGAACCGCCCCTGTCGCGTTGCCGTCGCCCCTCCCTCCCTCGTCGCCTCCTCCCATCTCTCGGCGGGCCTCAGGAGCACGGGCGAGGCCCACGGTCGATGCAGAAGGACAAGGGCGGGCCCACAGATGCGTACAGACCCGACAACTCACGCCATCGTGCCCCGGCAGCTCGACCGCCTCATCTCTCCTCCTCCTCATCTCGCTCGACCTCACCCGCCCTCCCGACACCGCCCACGATGGATCGCAAGCCCAAGCTCGAGCATGTCGACGGTCCTCCGTCCCACACGGCCTCGCCCGCCGACTCGCCCCTGCCCTCGACCTCGTCCTACCGCGACTTTGTCCTGCGCGCCTCGGCCCCGTCCTCGTCGACCCACACCAAGTACAACGTCATGAAGTTTGCCGTCACCGGCGGCGGCGGCGACCGCGTCATCGACCCGCAGGACGAGAGCCAGTTCCTCCGCCCGGTCAAGCTCAACCGCAAGGACCCGCGCACCGTCCGCCGCCTCACCGACGAGGACCGCGAGCGCCACAACCAGCGCGCCATCGAGCGCGCAGCCCGTGCCGCCGGCGTCAAGATGGAGGTCGACGGCGACGGCGCCGTCAAGGCCGAGGACGGTGCGGCGGCCGACGGCGGCGAGGGCGACGGCGCGGCGGCGGCCCAGGACGACAAGGAGGAGCTCGACCTGTCGCTCGTCGGCAAGGGCGCCGGCGGCGCGACCAACGTCCAGCGTCGCGGTCCCGGCGGCATGTTCAAGAAGAAGACGCGCCGCGTCTTTGTCTCGTCCGAGGAGGCCCGCCGGCTCAAGCGCGAGGAGTGGCAGCCCTGGGTCCTCGAGGACGACGAGGGTCGCGAGCGGTGGATCGGTCGGCTCGAGGGCGGCGCGGGCGAGATCGAGAGCAGCGCCAAGGCGCCGCAGCAGCAGAACGGCAACCGCGCCGGGCTCCAAGGGTGGCGCCCGGCGGCCGACTCGAACGCGACTGGCTCGGGCGGGAGCGCCTACGTCGCGTTCGTCTTGAGCGACAACCAGGACGAGTTCCGCGTCCTGCCCGTCAGTCGGTGGTACCGCTTCAACCAGGGCCCCAAGTACCTCACGCTCGCCGAGGAGGAGGCCGAGGAGGAGGTGCGTCCGCGCCGTTCTTTCCCTTCGCCCTCGCCGTCCCCGACTGACTCGCTCTCCTGCGACACAGTACGCCCGTCAGCAAAAGTCGAAGGACCCGGAGCGCTGGGTCATGCACCGCCGCATCGCTCCGCCTCCCGGCAGCGCCGCAGCAGGCGCCACGGCCTCGTCCTCGTCCGGCGCCTCGACCCCTCGCGGCGCCGCCGCGTCGTCATCCGCCCCGTCCGCCTCGTCGCTCCGCTCGCGCATGCTCGCCAACTCGGCGCAGGGCTCGCGCCTCGACGTCGCCAATCGTGCCGGCGGGCGGCCGCAGGTCCGCGCCGTCATCAACTCGGGCCCTGGGGCGGGACCAGGCGGCGCGAGGGGCAGGGGGCGGGCAGCAGATCAGGGGGACGACGAGTTTGACTACGAGGAGGACTTCCAGGACGACGAGGAGGGCATCGCCAAGATTGACGACCCTCGCCGACGAGGAGGAGACCAAGGAGCTCGAGGTGCGTCCTCCCTCCCTCTCTCTGTCTCGTTCTCGTCCCCTGCCTCGACCCAGACTGATTGTCGTGCCTCGCCGTTGCAGGAGCGTATCCGCCGCGAGATGCGCGCCGTCGAGCGGCCGGACGAGATCCCGGACGACGACGAGGTCGACGCGCTCGAGGGCGAGGGCGAGCGGCTCAACCGCACGGGCAAAGAGATCAAGAAGCTCGTCAAGAAGTCGGACAAGACGGGCAACTACGAGTCGGACGACGACGTCGAGAACCCGTACGCGAGTGTGCGTCTCCCTCTCTCTCTCTTCCTGTGTGTCCCTGTCCTCCCTCGCACGGACTGACATGCTCGGTGAACGTTCTTGTTGCACAGGACGACGACGACAGCGACGCCTCGGCTACGTCGCACGCCTCTGGCGCCCGCCCCGGATCGCGCGCCGCATCGCCGACTCGCGGTTCGTCCACCTCTCGGCCCGCCTCGCGTGCCGCCTCGCCCTCCTCCTCCGGCGCCGCCATGCTCGCCCGCCGTGCCGCGTCGCCCTCGTCCAAGCGCAAGCGCGACGCCGGCGCCGGGAGCGACAGCGAGGGCGGCGCCTCGTCGTCGACCGCCGACGGGTCCAAGCGGCGCAAGGGCGGCTCGGGCTCGGGCAAGGGCAAGTCGCCGTCGCCTGGACCGTCGAGCGGCCTTGCGCCGGGCGCGCTCCTGAGCGAGGCCGACCTCATCGCGTTCCTCAAGGCGCGCCCGGGCCAGACGAGCCCGACCAAGGACCTGCTTCGGCACTTTGGGCGCGCGCTCAAGGACAAGCGCAACAAGGAGGCGATGGGCGGCCTCCTCAAGGCTGTCGCCGACTTCAAGGAGGGCAGCCTCGTGCTCAAGGCCGGGCTCTGAGCGCGATTTCCTCTCGCGCTCGTTCTCTCGAGCTCTCGCCTCTCGCTCTCTCGTACTCTCTCCCTTGCATCCTGCATTGTCCAAATCTCATGTCGCGGACGTCCTGCGTCGTTGCATCGGAGAGAGGAGAGGAAAGAGAGAGGAAGAGATCGTTTAAAGAAGGGGTCCGAGAGCGAGGGGAAGGAGCTACAGGAGGAGGCGCGCAGCGCCCGTCTGGGTGCGGGACTCTTGCTGGCTCGACCTGCGAGTCATGCGTCGTTTCTTGCTCAGTCCTGCAACGTCGAAAGGATCAGACGCGGCCGTTGAGAGAACCGGCGAGAAGAGAGGCGCGAGCGCACCGAGAAGGACCACGAGATGGACAGCTCGCCGGTGTCCTCGTCGCCGATCGAGTCGAACGCGCCCGTAGAGAGGTCGAGCGACTCTGACGTTGAGCAGCCAGGGCACTCTGCGACCGGGAGAAGCGACGTCAGGCCATCGTCCTTGCGGCGAGGAGTTGGGGAAAAGGCGGACGCACCGTCGGCGACGGTCGCGGTCACGCTCTTGCCATTGCTCGTGTTGGTGACGACGACCGTCTTGCCGCAGTACGAGCCCGAGCCGTACATGCTCGACTGCAGGGCGACGATCTTGTCCGAGTCCGAATGCGTCGAGCCGCATGCGCCGGCGTTGCCGTCCTCTGCGCTCGACGGGGAGAGTCAGGGCGAGCGTCGAGCAGAAAGGAAGGAGCCGACGCACGGTAGAAAAAGGTGGCGGTGCCGGAATAGGTCGAACCGCTCGACGACGAGGACGAAGTCGAGCTTGCGCTCGAACCTGCCGCCGACGAGCTCGACGACCCGGGGCCAGCGGCGCCCGTCACCTGCGCCGCCTTGCTCGTCTGCGAGCTCGACTGGCTCCAGGCCGACGTCGTCGGTGCGCCGCTGCCATTGCCGCCTGCCGGCGCCGTCATGCTCGCGCGAGAAGCAGAGCCCGCACCTCCCCAGGACCCGCCCTGGCGGTTGAGCCTCGCGCCGCCCTTCTGGCGACGAACGATCTTCTTGTCGGACGAGGTGCGGTGGAAGGGGACCACAGCAGGGGCGGCAGGCTGCTGGGCCCGGGCGGCGAGCGCCCGACGCGAGACTTTGTGGCACGCGGCGTCGGCGGTCGAGGCGCCGAGGCTGAGGAGCGAGATGGCGATCGTGGCGAGGGTGAAGCGCATGTTGAAGGGATACAGGGAGAGCACAGCTCGTGGAGGAAAGAAGGGGAAAGGCTGCGTGACGAGGAGGGTGAGCCTTCCCGACTTGCCGGCGGAGGAGAAGGGAAGAGGGACGCACCGAGACGAGGCGGAACCGGCGGCCACAGACACGGAAAGGAGAGAGAAGAGCGTCGAGCCGGTCGAGCGCGACCTTTCGAGCGGGAAAGAGGGTAGCTGCGCGAGCTGCGAGGACGAGCACGCGCAGCAGGATGAAACGGTCGTGATGGACCCGATCCAACGGGCGACGAGGGGGCGAGCACCCCTTTGTCTCTGTGACCAGCGTCGGCATCGCGCCGAGGAACAGCGCAGCAGAGCAGAGGCAAAGGAGCTAGTCGAGGAAAGAGACGGTCGCTCGAGACGCCATTGGCGGCGGCGGCGACGACAAGGGCGGCCTAGCGCGGCCTCAATCGACAGTCACAAGCTCAAGAAGCGGACGCAGCATGGCGAGGAGGCCGCGTGAGCGCCGTCGCAAGCCGGACGCGTGCGGAGAGTGCGTGCAGGCGGACGAGGAGGATCCGCCCTCGACACACGCCCTCGACACGCTCAAGGGCTGCACCGACGGGCGCAGAGTCGCCTCTGGAGCTGCCCTCGCGCGCCCGTGTACCCGCTCGCTCGCCCCACGTCGCTCTTCGACCTGCTCGCGCTCCCTCCCTCGGCGCATACAGACACTCGAGTCGGGGCTGGACGCGAGGCTCTGAGCGTGTCGGGCGGTCGAGGGCGACCTCTGAGCAGGCGCAGAAGGGGCAAGGGCCGTGCTGGAGCGATGCAGGAGGAGGCGAAGCGGCGGATTCGGAGCGAGCGAGCGCCTCCTCCTCGCGGCTCGACTTTGTCGCTTCGAGGATGTCCGCCTCGGTCTCGCGCTCGAGAGCGCGCAGCTCGTGCAGCATGGCGGTGTGGCAGTGGAGCAGAGCGGTGCAAAGGAGCGGGGCAGCTTCGCCTTCGAGTCGGAGTCTGTGCACAGTCCTCGCCGAGCGGTTTCTGTCCGTCGCTCGTCTGTTTGGAGAGAGGCCCCGTCTCGCTTCCCCGCTCGTCGCGTCCCTCTCCCACTCTCTCTCTCTCTTCCCTTCCTCCCACTTCGACTTGCGCCTTTCCGCTCAACAGCGAGTCGGGATGGAGCCTGGCACCACTCGTGAGCCCTTCTCCTCCTCCCCCTCGTCCACGCACGCGCATCTCGCGCGCCGAGCTCCTCCCCCAGATCTCGCGCGCTGACGGCACCCCATCTCCCTCCTGCCACAGCTCTCGCCGACGCGCCGGTCGTGCACCCACCGCACCTGCACCCTCGCGCCAAGAAGCTCCCCCTCTCGCGCAACTCGCCCTCGCCGCCGCCCTCGCTCGACCTCGGCACCCCCTCGTCCTCCGCCATGCTCGAGGTCTCGCACGACTACGACGCCGACGCGTCCGACACGGACGAGCCGCACGAGCGCCGCAAGGGGCGCGGTCTCGAGGTCAAGGGCACCATGGCCGCCGTCGCCTCGCCGCGCTCGCGCTCGCCCGCCTCGCTCCTCTGGGGCGAGTCCGGGTGGCATGCCGGCAGCTTCTCGTTCCCTTCGCTCGCCACCGTCGCCGCCGCCGCCGTCGCCGCCGAGTCGCCGACGCCGCACGCCTCGCCCGACCAGCACTTCCACACGCCGTTCTCGCTCGAGGACCTCGGCGTCCAGGCCCAAGTCGGCGGCGACCAGGTCAAGGCGGGCCAGATCGACCACGAGGACGACGGCCCGCAGGCGTCGAACTCGTCCGCCGACGTCGTCCACCAGGCGGCGGCCACGGCGGCTCCCGTCCACCCGACCCGCAGCAAGAAGCTCACGCCGACCGCCGAGCCGTTCTCGCCCAGGGCCACCACCTTCACGCCTGTGTCGCCGCGCCCCGACGTCCCTCGTCTCGGCATCAGCACGGCCCTGAGCCGCTATTCGTTCCCGGCGGCGCACGCCTACAACGACGAGGCGAGCGTCGCGAGCTCGCCCGTCGACCCGCACACGCCGTCGTCGGCGCCGCTCCGCCACTGGTCGCTCAGCAGCAGCACGAGCAGCCGCTCGCAGTTCGACTACGACGGCCACCTCCTGTCGCAGGGCGCCAAGTACACGATCGCCGACGAGATCCTCCAGCTCCAGTCGGCGCCGCTCGGCCGCCGCATGCTCGACTCGGACGACGACATGGAGGTCCTCGCCGACGTCGACGAGCTCGAGACGGGCGCGATGCGCATGCGCGCCGCGAGCGAGGACCTCGGCCTCTCGAGCGCCGCCGGGCACTGGCGCCACCCGCAGTCGTACGGCGGGCGCCCGGTGCGCTCCGCCAACGGCGCCAGCTTTGCGCACGCGCGCAGCTCGAGCATCGCGTCGTCGTCCGACAGCAGCTTCTACTCGCCGACGGCGGTTCGCCCCGTCTTTGCCCGCGCTCAGACCGCGGCGCAGCTCAAGACGTACTTTGGCGCGCCGCAGGACGACCCGTCCTCGGTCCACCTTCCCGACGACCACGACGCGTACCTGCCTCTCTCGCCGGCGGCGAGCGTCAGCGGCGTGTCGTACCGCAGCTCGCAGGCGAGCTTCGGCGGCACCTACCCTCCTCTCGCCCACCCCGAGCCGTTCAACCTCACTCGCGACGACGCGCTCTACCTCGAGGCGCGCGACCTGTTCGTCGAGTCGACGTGCACGTCGCTCACGACGCCCGTCACGGACGAGCACCTCGACAAGATGGCGCAGCACTTCGACCACGCCATGGACCAGTTGCACCCGCTCGCGACCCTGTTCGGCCTGTCGCAGGACGCCGCCGACCGCCTCCTCGCCGACCCGGACAACAGCGGCGTCGACGACGTCGTCCTCAAGGTCGCGGCCATGATGGGCCGCCAGCAGCAGTTGGCGAGCACGCAGCGCTCGGCCATGGGCGTGCCCCTTCCCGGTCCGAGCCCGAACAACCGCAAGACCGAGCTGTACAAGACCGAGGGCTGCCGCAGTTGGGACGAGCTAGAGTGGTGGTGCGTCCCTCGTTTCTCTTACTCGGTGTCCCGAGACGAACGTCGTCGAGCCCGGCCTGACCTCTTCCTCCTCCCCCGCACGCAGCAAATACGGCGAGAAGTGCCAGTTTGCGCACGGCATCCGCGAGCTGCGCTACGCTCCCCGTCACGCCAAGGTGCGTCGTCGTCGTCGTTGCCGACCTGCGCACGAGCCCGCCCCTGACCTTACCCTCTCGCGCCCCGCAGTTCAAGTCCGAGATCTGCCGCACCTTCTGGGAGGACGGCGCGTGCCCGTACGGCAGACGCTGCTGCTTCATCCACGCCGCTCCCGACGGCACGGCGCCGTCGTCGCCGAGCGCGTCGCGCAAGGGCTCGACGGCGAGCAGTCGAGCCCAGAGCCCGGGCCCGCACGGCCGCATGACCTCGACGGCCGTCACGACGGCGCCGTCGCGCACGTTCGGTCCGGCCCTGTCCGAGCTCCTTGGGAGCGCGTCGCACTCGTCGTCGTCGTCGGCGGCGCAGAGCTCGCCGGTCGAGGCCCGTGCGCCCCTTCCCGGCGGCTCGTCGTCCTCGTCTTCGACCGGCTCGTCGTTCGAGACGTCGACGCTGTTCGGCCTCGGGATCCGCGAGCGTCCCGGCCAGGCGCCGGCGACGTACAGGGACGCGCCGCAGAGCCGCCTGCAGCGCCTCGCGAGCCTGAGCGCGCACGGCTCGAGCTCGTCGCTCGCCTCGCTCGGCGCGCCGCTCGGACCTCGCGGGTCCATCTCGTCGTTCGGCTCGGGCGCGCCTCGCGGCTCGACGGCGTCGCTCGGTTCGCTCGCGTCGCCCTCGTACGCGGCGGCGCGCCCGAACAAGCAGGGTCCGGTCTCGCCGCCGTCGGCCTCGTCGAGAAGGTTCTTCACGGGCGCGTCGCACGCCCGCCAGGACAGCGCGGCGTCGTTCATGTCGTCGGGGTCGTCGGCCGCCGCGCCGCTGTCGCCGTTCCTCGCCCGCAACGACTCGTCGTCGAGCCTGTCGAGCGCCGCCGCGTCGCCGATGCTCCACCGCGTCGGCGGCGACTGGCTCTCGGGCACGGCGCACGGCGCCATGTCGGCCGCGTACGGCAAGGGGGCCCTCGATTGGCCCGAGATCGAAGAGCTGTGCCTCGACGACCCGCCGGCGCCGACGGGCTCGTCGCTCCACGGTCGCGCCTGAGCGTCCTCTCCTCGCACCCTTCCTCCTTCTACCGTCCCTCTCTCGCCATCAAAACGACTCGCCCTCCTCGTCAAGAGTCGACTCTCTCCCTCTCTCGCACCGGCACTCGCACCCGCAACTCGCCGTCTCTCTCTCTCTCTCTCTCTCGTCCTCGGTCGTCGTTCCTCTTCTCGGTCCACCAGGTTGTCGTCGCCTTCTTCGCCTCGCCGTTCGTATGTCACTATCCGCCTTCGTGTTCTGTATGTATCCCTGGACTCCGCGGCGCGTGGCAGGAGGACACGCGTCGCCCTCTCTCCCTCCCTCTCCTCTCCCCTCGCACCTCTCCCTGTCTTCCTACCCAAAAGGCGTCTCGACGACGCCCTCTCCTCGTGCCTACCCCTCCTCCCGCTTGCCTCCCTCCTCCTCGCCCGCCTCGCTTGTTCTCCCGGGCGACGTCAAAGGTCGTCGTCGCGCCGGTCCGCTCTTTGTCCGTACTTGTGAGCAATACACAGATTTCAGTGCCCGTCTGCGCCCGTCGTCGAGAGGCTGCTCAGAAAGTGAGAGACGTCGCCCGGCCCTCGCTTGATCAGGAGGCGGTGCATGATACCACTGGCTCGCTCCTTCGCTCGCCTCACGCGCTCCAAGCCAGTGCAGCACCATGACTGACAGCAAGCACTACGAGCCTGTCGCCGCAACCGACGACGCTGCCCCGCCCGCGTACGAGGCCGCCACGCAGGGCACCCTCCCCGCCGACCTCGCCCTCCTCTCGACTCGCGCCACGCCCGTCAAGGCCGTCCAGCCGGTGCGTGCATCTCGTCCCTAGTCCTCTCGATCCGGCCTGACACGCCTCCACCGCCCCTGCAGAGCGCGACACCCCAGATGCGCCTCCACGGCCCGCGCAACCCGCTCGCCGTTCCGGTCGGCCTCGACGGCAAGCGCGACTGGTCGCACGGCCTGTGCGCCTGGTACGAGCGGCCTGCGCTCACGGCCGAGGCCATGTGCTGCCCGTGCCTCGTCTTCAACCACAATCGCGAGCGCCTCGTGCACCTGACCCAGACGGGCGAGCGTAAGTCCACTCTCTCTTCTCTGACCGCCCCACCCCCCTCGTCCAGAGCCCCTGATTGACTCGACGAAACACACAGCGCACCCGGACCCGTCGCGCCTCGGCCTGTGGACCTGCCTGTACGCCCTCGCGCCCCAGCTCGGCGGCATCGGCCAGGTCGCGCTCCAGTGCGTCGCCCGCTTCCACACGCGCCAGCGCTACGCCGTGCGCGGCAACGCCGTCGAGGACGTTCTCGTCGGTGCGTCCCTCGCCTTCCCTCGTCTCTCTCTCGAGACGATCCCGAGCGAGCGAGACGGGAACTGACCTTGCCCTTTCCCCGACCTCGCAGGCGCGTTCTGCACGACGTGCTCGCTCGTCCAGGAGTCGCGCGAGCTCGAAGGCGAGGAGCAGGCTCTCCGTGCCGAGGGCGGCGGTGCCGTCGCGCCGCAGCAGTACTACCGTGACGAGGCGGGCGACGCTCAGGCCTGAGCCCTCGTCAGCCTGCGTCTGTTTCGCTTCATGGACCCTCTCTCTGTTCCTCTTTGTCGTCTCTTGTTGGTCCTTTCTCACTGTAACACTTTCGGTTCTCTCGTCGAGTGCGCGTGTGCGGCAAAGTGTCCATAATTGCGAGAGAGAGAGTCGATAAAAGAGGTGCGAGAGACGACGAGAAGAGGGCCTGGGCCAGCCACGGCGCCGCTCGCCAACGAGAGGGTAGGCATAAAGAGTGCGGGAGCAAAGGTGGTACAGGACAAGGGACGGCGGGCGAAAGAGGAGAAGAGGGTCGGTTTGCGAGGATGCGGGCGACGAGGACGAGAGGGTTCAGAGGAGAGGGAGGACGAAAGTCGAGAAGAGGATGGTGACGAGGGACGTGATTGTCGAGGACGAAGCCGTGACCGTCGTGAGGCCCGTGCCCTTGCAATGCTGCGGGATCAGAGGGTGTGAGCCAAGGGACCGAGAGAGAGTAGACGCCCGATAGGCTCACGTTGTTCGCGCTCGTCGGCCAGCACGACAGGTACCTGCGGCGCACACGTGCGAGAGAGTGTGTCAGTCGACTGTCGACACGAGAAACCGAGCCGGGCCGCTCGAGTGGCCGCAGCACGGTCAGGGAGGAACGTGCGCTCAGGCCGACGCACCTGCACCAGCTGCACGCCGTTGCCGGGTCGCCCGTGTAGAAGTTGCGCGTGAGGACGACAAAGACGACGATGACGAGTGGGAGGGCGACGAGGCGCAGGGCGACAAAGACGAGCTTGTGCGTGCGCGACGGGTGCACGATCGGGAAGAGGAGGATCGACGTGAGGAGGCCGACGAGGAAGCCGCCAAGGTGCGCAAAGTTGTCGACGCCTGCGTGTCCGAGAGAAGAAGGTCAGGACGGGGCGGACGGGGCGCGAGAGGGAGAGAGGGACGCACCGGGAACCCAGCCGAGCCCGATGCCCACGATGATCTCGACGATGAGGAACAGGAGCTTGCGCTTCGGACGGTACTCGATCTTCCAGTGTGCGAGAAGGTCACTGTGTGGGTCGCACGGCAGGTACGCAGGTCAGTCGAGGCTCGACTCGCTCGAGAAGGACGGACCGGGCCCGAGCGGGCGACGCACACGAGGAGGGCGGCGTGCGTGCCGAAGATTGCGCCCGACGCGCCGACGCTCGGGAGGCCGACGAGCGCAAAGTTGGCGCCGAGAATAAAGCCGAACAGGCCCGACGCAAAATAGACGACGAGGAAGCGCGGCGTGCCCATCATGCGCTCGACCTGCGGCGAGTCGAGGAAACAGGTCAGGCTCGTCCTCGTAGTCCCTGAGGAGAGAAACAAGGGCGACGCACTTGACCCGAGCTCGTACACTGAGCGAGCATGTTGAGGAGGAGGTGGACGACGCCGGCGTGGAGGAAGATGGGGACGAAGAATCGGAACGACTGGTCGGGGCCGCCCGGGCCGTCGACAATGTCGAACCCGCCAAAGCCGCAGATATCCGACATGGTACCTGTCGAGACATGGGTCAGATGGGGTCTGACGGTGGAAGAGAAAGAGAGGGGACGCACAGGTAGGGTCGGCCGACGAGAGCGTCGCCTTGTTCGTGTCCTTGAGGCAGGTCCACGGGATGTCGGTCACCTGCGGCGAGCAGCGAGTCAGTATGGTCGTCGAGAGAGCGAGAGAGGAGAGAGAGGTGGACGCACGTTCGAGATGTACTTCATGCAGCCGGCGAAGCGTGCGCCGAGGTTGATGAGGACGGCGCCCGAGGGACCTGCGCGCACGAGAGTGAGGTCAATGACCCCTCTCGCCATAGCGAGCATGTCCGAGAGATGAGAGAGAGGGCTCACCAATCATGACGTTGAACGAGGGCTTGGTCTGGATGGGCGAGCCCGTGTACGAGTTCATGCGGACGAGCTCGACGATCATGACCTGCAATACCGCGGTCCGCGTAGTCAGTTAACGCGCTCCGCACGAGAGCACGACTAGGAGAGAGCGGTGGACGCACAATGACCATGACGACGGCGAGGCCCCAACTCGCGAAAGGCCACCGCTGCATGCCCACGCCGCGCTTGTGCTCCCACACGCGCCGCTCTGCGTCGGTCGTGTCCCACAGCCACCGCTGCCACAGCGGCTTGGGCACGATCGACTCGCCCCTCGCGCCGCTCGCGCCGTACCCTGCGCCCGCCATGGACGACCGGGAGCGGTCGTGCGCGCCGGCGACGTCGAGCGAGGGCACCTTGTCGAGCTGCGGGAGGTGGTCGCGCGTCGCGTACGCCGACGGCGGGTAGCTGCTGCCGGGCTTGCCGTCGCCAAAGTCGCCCGACGGCGGCCGGAACGCGAGGTCGTTGGGCGTGTAGAACGAGCCCTCGCGGTCGCGGGCCGTGCGCCCGCCGCCGCCGCCGCCGCGCAGCGAGTTGAGGAACCCGCCGAGGACACCTCGACCTGCTGCTGCGGGAGCGCCTGCGCCCTCGCCGTCTCGTGCGCCGCCCTGCCAGCTCGCGCCTGCCGCGGCGCCGCCCGCCTTGGCCTCGAGGTCGGCGTCCCTCCTCCTCGTCGCGTACGCCGCGTATGCGCCGCTCTCGCCCTCGTCGTCGTCGTCAAACTCGTCGTGGTCGTCGTCGCCGCCGAGCGCGGCGTACCCTTTTGCCGGGCGCGAGTACGGCGTGACGGTCGACGGCGCGACCGAGCGGACGCCGGCCGGGCCCGACCCGGCGGCGCCGGCGCCTGGAACGAGCGGGTGCGACGCGTCGTCGTCGTCGTCGCCGTGGTACTGGTCCTGCGACGGCGAGGCCGAGGGGGCCCGGGCGGCGCCGTACGGGACGACGAGGGCGGCGGCGGCGCTGTCGCCTCGAGCGCGCGACAGGGGCCCGCCGGCCGACGAAGCGTTGACGGCGCGCATGCCGGTGCTTGACGGCGAGTGGCGCGACGAGGATGGGGCGGCGGGAGCGGCGGCGGGCACGACGGTGCTGCGGTCGTCCTCGAGGAGCTCGGGCGGGACGTAGTCGCGGTGGACGGCCTCGTCGTGCGAGTGGTGGTCCTCCTCGGGGACGGTCGGGGTGGACGGGTCGGCGAGGTCCATGGCGCGCGGGCCGAGCATGGCCCTGCGGCCGGTGAAGCGGCGGTCGAGCTGCGAGACCGAGTCGTCCGGGGCGATGGTGGACGCGGCGTCGTTGCCCCAGTGGAAGTTGTCGCTCGCAACGTCGGACGGTGGCTGTGGGCGGGCGTACATGTGGCTCGGGGCGAGGTGGTCGGGGGACGAGTGGTACGAAGGGGCGGCGGTGCCGGTGGAGCGGTACGGGGTGCGGCCGTCCATGCTGCGACGCGGGGTGGCGCGCTGCTCGGGCACGGGTCGAGAGGTGAGTGGCTGGTGCTGGCGCAGGTCGGCGTCGGTGAGCGGGCGAGCTGCGGCCGCTTGACCGAGACGGCGGACGAACGAGGTTGAGCGACGAGGTCGAGGGGCGAGGCGGCGAGCACCGGGGCGCGGGTCGGTGTGCTAGTGCTGGATCGCGAGGGTGCTCTGCGAGGGGCAGGCGGGTCGCAAGCACTCGTGGGCGGTGAGGGCACACGCCGACGAGAGGAGCGCGCGCAGCCGACCAAGGCGGTGCGACCTCCGCTCGCTCGCTCGTCCTCCGGGTCGTGTGCGGTCAGGTTCACTGTGTAGCAGGTAGTATCGTACGCCCTTTGCGCCCCTCGGCTGATTTACCGCGAGCGACCTCTTGGCTCGAACTTCATCGGACGACCTCGACGGTCGCCGACTCCTTCGCAGCTCTCTCGCATCGACCACGGCCTCTGTACCTTTGCGCGCCACCGTGTACACCACCTAGAGCATCTCGCTACAGCCTCGAGCGCGTCAACCGCCAGCAGCAGCTCGGCCTCTCGACCCTGCCTCAGCCTCCGACTCGCCCCGCCCGCTCCCGACCTCGTCCTCGCGTCGTCCGACCCACCCCCTCGCTGCGACCGCCGCCATGCAAGGCCCGCCCCTCGCCTCGCACCGCAACGCCCACCCGCTCGTCGACCTCGCACGCCCACCCCGCACCTCCGCACGTTCATCCTCGCCCACCTCGCTCGACCCACCTGCGGGTGCCAAGCCTCGCTCCGACAGCCCGACCCTCGACCCGCCGTCTATACCGCCGCACACGGCCGCGCACGGCGACCCGGGCGGCCACGGCGGCGGCGTCGAGGCCGGCAAGGGCGCCCAAGGACCGCCGCCGACCCGGCTCCAGCGCACCCTCAAGGCCCTCAAGCGCCACGGCGCCTTTGTCGGCCCAGGCGTCATCGCCTCGGTCGCCTACCTCGACCCGGGCAACTGGAGTACCGACCTGGCGGCCGGCTCGCAGGTGCGTCGGCTCGTTCCTCCTCCCTCCTCGACGTCAAGACCCAGCTTCTTCCGCCGCATACTCGTTCTCACCTCCTTTTCCTCGCAAACAGTTCGGTTACAGCCATCTCTTCGTCATCCTGTTCGCCGGCCTTGTTGCCCTCCTCTTCCAGCTCTTGTCGACCCGGCTCGGCTGCGTGTCCGACTATGGTGCGTCGAAACACCTCTCGTCACGGCGGGCTCTGCCGCTTTGCGTCTTGGCAGAGCTCGTCTGCGCATGTATCCTTCGTCACACAGCCCCTGACCATTCGGACCCGTCCTGCAGATCTCGCGACGCACTGCCGGTTCGCGCTGCACGACCGCGACTCGCGGTACAAGCTCGTGTACCGGTGGGGCCTCTTGTACCCACTCTACGTCATGGCCGAGATCGGCATCATCTTTACCGACCTCGCCGAGCTTCTCGGTAGCGCCATCGCCATCAACCTGTGCGTCCCCCCTCTCACCGAAGACGTGGCCCTCTTCCTCGCCGTGCCTGCGACTAACTCTTGCGCGCACTCGCGCCCGATACAGCCTCATCCCGGCCATCCCCCTCTACGGCGCCGTCCTCCTCACGTCGGCCGACGTCTTCCTCATCCTCCTGCTCTTCAACCAGTACCCGACCCGGACCGTGACTCGGTCGATGCGCATCTTCGAGCTCCTCATCGGTCTCCTCGTCCTGTGTGTCCTCGCTTCGTTCGTCGCGCTCCTCGTCAAGGTGTCGCCCGTGTGGAAGGACGTCTTCTTCGGCTACGTGCCGCGCTCGGGCATCATCGAGGGCGGCGGCATCTACATCGCGGTCGGGTGCGTCCCCTCTCCCTCGCCTCTCTCCTGCCGAGCACCAGACTGACTCGCCGCGTCGCCTGCAGCATCATCGGAGCGACGGTCATGCCGCACGCGTTCTACATCGGGTCCAAGATGGCGACCATGCGGCGGCTCAAACCCGAGGACTATGGCGAGTCGCCCGCGACGTACGAGGGCGGCGATGCCGCGTCCGACGACGAGTACGACGACGACGACGCGTGGCAGAAGAAGCGCGACGCGCGGCGCGCCCAGCTCGCCGAATCGGGCCCAGACGGCGTCGAGCGCCCGGCCCGCTCGCGCACGCAGCGCCTCGCCGACACGCTCGCGTCGCCGTTCTCGACCGTTGCGGCCGCTCGGCGCAGGGGCGAGTCGCCGCCGCCGCCGAGGCCGTTCCTCCCGTCGCTGCACCTGCCGCACCCGGTTAACCTTGGCGCGCTCGGGTTCGACCTCGGCGCGCTCACGCGGGCGAGGCCACGCTCGCCGGTCGACGAGCGCGACGACGATGACGGGATTGAGGAGCTCGACGGCGAGCAGGGCGTCGACGGCGAGGGCCGGACCTGCGCCGGCATGGACGTCGTCGCCAAGACGCGCTCGTCGACCTCTGCCGCCGCCAACGCCAAAGCTTCGTCGCGCTCGCGCCCTCGGCGTCGCCCGACGCTCGCCTGCGTCGAGGCGCACCTCACGCACGCGTCGCTCGACATTGCCGGGTCCTTGCTCGGGTTCGCCGTCGTCGTCAACTCAGCCATCCTCATCCTCGGCGCCGCCGTCTTCTACTACGGCGACGGTCGGAGCTCGAACCCGGACGGTGGGGGCGTGAGCGACCTGTTTGACGCGTACGACCTCGTCAAGCAGTATCTCGGCCAAGGTGCGTCCTCCTTTCTCTCCCTCTCTTTCTCTCTCTCGCGTGATCTTCCTCGCGAGGTCGTCTCTGACCTTCTGCGCCCACCTCGCAGCCTTCGCCTACTTGTTCGCCGTTGCACTCTTTGCGGCGGGTCAGAGCGCCAGCCTGACTGTGACGCTCTCAGGGCAGATCGTCTCTGAGGGGTGCGTCCCATTCTCTCTTTCCCTCTCTCAGCACTCGAGGACTGACCCTCCCGCCCCCTCGACAGCTTCATCAACTGGCGCACCAAGCCCTGGAAGCGCCGCCTCGTGACGCGCTGCATCGGCATCGTCCCGTCGCTTGCCGTCGCCCTCTCGGTCGGCCGTCAGGGCATCGACACGCTCCTCGTCGCGAGCCAGGTCGCCCTCAGCATCGTCCTCACCTTTGTCTTACTTCCGTGCGTCCCTGCGTCTCTCAATCTCGCGCTCTCATGCCGCAAAACTCGATCCTGACCGCGCCTTTCCTTGCCCTCGACAGCCTCATCATCTTCTGCGCCCAGCACTCGATCATGGCCATCCCCGTCGACCCTCTCGCGCCCCCTGTCGCCGCCGCACCACGTTCCTCATCCCGTGAGCCGACCTCGCTCCCCGCACGCGCCCGCATCGAGCACCTCGTCCACGCGCTCAACCCGTTCCGCCGCCGGCGCGCGCCCGAGGGCACCGTCTCGTACGCGAGCCCCGTGTGGCTCGTGTGGCTGTGCGGCGCCCTGTGGCTCCTCATCGGGGTCGCCAACGTGTACGCTCTGTACGATGTCGGGCAGCATGGGGCGTGAGTGAGGGTCGAGAGAGGGGCCGGGCCGAGGTGGACCGTCGAGCATGGATCGGTGCGGCGCTCAGTCGCCCATATTGTAGCAGTCTCAGCATTGGACCTGTCGCACTGTCTCGACCGCGCTCTTGACCCCGAGAGACGCCTTTCACCGTCGGAAAACGCCTCGCTCGAGCAGAGGAGGAGGACCGAGCGGCCGTGCTCGACGGCGTTCCTTGCGCCTCTCTGTGCCCTCTCTGTCAATGTGCGCTCCCTCTAGCCGTGTCATCGATCGTCGTTGGCCTGTGCGCGCCCGTCTCGTCCCCGTTGCGCCTGCGCCGCCTTCGAGAGCTCGAGAGCTCGAGAGCTCGCTTTTGGAAGCCGGCTCGGCGTCCTTTGCACCGCTGTTGGCTCGAGGGTGGGCATAACGATGCTCAGAAGAGTCTGACGACGCAGAGACGAGCGTAGAGACGCTCGAGGAGGACAGGCGGCCAACCGCGAGTCGGCCTTCTCAAGTCGACCTTCCTCGCCGTGCGACGTCGCCTCTGGCGCTCTGAGCGCCTCTCTTTGTCGTGCTGGAGCTCGATACCGTCATCCTTCGAGTGCAAGGCCCTGAGAGCGACACGCTGAGAGCAGAGTGTACGAGAGGCGGGGTCGATGGTCCGTGCACCCAACCTCCTCCTCCTCGACGTCGACTTTGGCCGCGTCGCCGGTGGCCAGCGGTTCTACATGCGGTCTGGCAAAAGGGGAAAAGCTCCTGCGGAGCAGCAAAAGCGTACTGCAGCGGCCGGGAATCGAACCCGGTACGCGGACAACTTCAAGAGAGCATGGGAAATCCGCATGTTAACCAGTACACCACCGTTGCTAATAACGAGCTCTGCGCCGATAGCAGAGTCCCCGTCCAGTAAAGGCAAGCTCGAAAACCGAGGTCGCAGGTACGACGAGGACCGTGCGCCGCTCCTCGACCGCGCGGGCGTCGCTCGACGACGACAGCTGTCGGATTCGCCCTCGCCCTCGGGCTCGCACCTCGCTGAAACTCGCACGCTGCAACTCTACACGCTCGCGCTCTTGGGGCCCGCCGTCCGTGCGTGAGCGGACATCTGGGCAAGATGTTGAAGGTCTGTGCGCAGCGACGAGCTACTCTTGGACGAGTCCTCGCGGCCCACCTTGTCCAGCTGTGCGACGCCAAAGTACTTGCGACGCGGGTCTGCACTCTTTCACGCGCAAAAGCAGGGCCACTCGAGGTCGGCGCAGATCGCTTCGGCCGTTTCGAACTCGACTGAGTCGGCGCCGAGCTGATGACGGCCCACCCCCTCGCTCGCTCTCACCACAGCACGCACGCCATGGCCGACTCGCCAGGCTACCAGTCCGACTCGACCGCTGTCGACAAGCCCACGCCCCGCTCCTCGCGCGGCCGCTCGACTCGGTCCCACCGTCCGCGAGGCACCTCGTCCACCCGCGGCCACCACTCGCTCGTCCAGCTCGCCGTCCAGCTCGTCGAGCGCATCGTGTACGCCGTCATCTACGCGCCCTTTGCCTGGGCCACCTGGGCCCTGTACCGCCTGTACCAGGAGGTGATCCGCCTCGTCTTTGCCTCAAGTGAGCAGCCCCCTTCCTCTCCCAGTCCATGCCCTGCGCCCACAGAGCCTCGCTCGAGAGACACAGCTGACTCTCCACGAGCGACCCGCAGGTGGACCTCATCGCCCGCCGGGCAAGCCGTACGGCCGCATCGCCGTCATCGGAGCCGGCCTCACGGGCGTGAGCACCGCAGCGCACGCCATCGACCATGGGTTCGAGGTCGTCATCTTCGAGGCAGAGAAGGACGTCGGCGGCGTCTGGGCTGGTGCGCCCGATCTCGAACCCGTCCCCCTCGAGACTGTCCCGAGAACTGACCTTTCCTCCTTCCTCTCCCCTCCCCTCCCGCCCTCTTCCATCTTCCCTGCGCAGCGAGAACTCGACGAGTCAGCTTCAGCTCAACTCGATCCTGTACCGCTTCCACCCGAGCGTCAAGTGGAACAGCGGCTTCCCGAAGCGCGACGAGATCATCTCGCAGATCCGAGCCGTCTGGCAGCGCTACGACCTGCAAAAGCGCACTCGCTTCGACGTGCGTCCTCGATTTCTCTCCCCACCCCTAGTGACCCGAGCCGACCCCTCTCGAATCCGTCGCAGTACCGCGTCAAGAAGGTCATCCGCGACCCCGACTCGTCGACGGACCCTCGGTCCGGCGGCCACTCGAGATGGATCGTCAATGACGGGCACGAGGGCATCTTTGACGCGATTGTGCGTCCCCTCCCCCTGCCCTCTCGAGCCAGGAAGCAGGACTCACGCCAGTGTGCCGCAGGTTTGCGCTGTCGGGACGTGCGGCGACCCCAAGTTCATCGAGCTCGAGGGCCAGGACACGTTCAGCGGCCAGATTCTCCACTCGTCTCAGCTCGACGACGCCGACCTCGAGGGCAAGCGGGTCGTCATCGTTGGCAGCGGCGCGTCGGGCGTCGAGTCCGCCGAGTTGGCGGTCGCCAAGAAGGCCAAGGACGTCGTCATGCTCGCCCGGTCCGACAAGTGGATCATCCCGCGCAACACGCTCATCGACGTCCTCCTGTCGCTCCAGCCGTTCGGCCGCGAGATGCCCTTGTCCTTCATCCCCGAATGGTTCATTCGCGTCTTCCACTACCGCGACCTCGCCGCGCTCTCTCCGCCCAAGAAGGGCCTCTTCCAGGGGTTCGTCCTCGCTCTCTTTCTCTAGATGTCTGTGCAGCGCCCGGCCCTCGAGCCTGCATCTCGCTCGCGGTCACCCCGACTGACCCTCCTCGCCGTCGCCCTTGCAGCACGCCGATCGTCAACGACGAGGTGCTCGCCCACATTCGCGAGGGCAAGATCCAATACCGCCGTGGCGACACCAAGAAGATCGTCCCGTCGGGCATTCGGTTCGTCGAGCGTGAGCGCGACACCAAGAGCGGCGACGACGGCGAGGAGACGCTCATCTCGGCCGACGTGTGCGTCGACCTTCCTCGATCCTTGCCCATTTCCCTGCGACGTTCACTGAGCAAGCTCGAGCGCCCGCAGCCTCATCATCGCGACTGGCTACAAGCGCCCGTCCCTCGACTTTCTTCCCCAAGACCTCTTCCCGACCGAGACGGACCGCGACTACCACCCGCCGTCGCTATACCTCCAGAACTTTGCCGTCGAGGACTGGAGCGTCCTGCTCACCAACGCCTCGTACCAAGGTGCGTCCCGCATCTCCATTCGGCCCGTTCCGAGAGCTCGACCTGACTTTCTCGCTCTCCAGACGGTCTCGGCACGGTCGGCAACTGGCACATCGGCCTCCTCGCCCGCATCCAGCTCGTCTTCCTCCTCGACGAGACGACGCGCCCGCTCCCGGCGGCCATGAAGACCTGGGTCGACGTCATCAACTGGGTCAAGATGCAGGCTTGGGGCGAGGACTCCTCGGGCCTCACTTTCTTCACGTGCGCCCAGATTCCTCTCTCCCTTCTCGGCCCGCCTGGATTTGATTCGTGTCCGTCGCCGCAGGTACTCGGAGATGTGCATCTGGATCCTCGTCTTCCACCTCTTCAACCCGCGCCGTCTGCCCTGGTGCGTCTCGATATTCCCTCCTCGTCCTCGGTCTCGAGCCTGTGTCCGTCTTTCGCCGTCCCTGACACTCGAACTCGCATCTCGCAGGCTCCCGTTCATCCTCTTTGGCTGGGGCGTCCGACCCGGCACCGTCGACCGCCTGTCCGCCGAGCACGTCAAGGCCGCCGAGGAACGTGCTCGCGGATGGGGGATGCGCCTGCGCCCTTCGGCATGGGGACGCTCGAGTGCCTGAGTGGGTCGAGATTCCTGCCGGTGGCGCCGTTCTCTCGCTGTAGATAGAGCTTGAAAGGTCGTGCAGGCGATTCGTTTCCCGTGTGCCGTGCCGTGCCTGAGAGTCGCCTCTTGACGACGACGCCGTCAGCCGCCTCGCACGCTCCCTTTAGCGAGAGCTGCAGCGAGCACTTCCAGGTCGCAGAGACCGAGAGCTGTGGCGAGAAAGCGTCCAGTGCCCGCGAGCGGTTTACGGGTGCCGCTCGTCGCCGCTCTCGTTCGGCCTTCTCTTGCAAGATCCTGATGTTCAGGGACCTACAGCGTTGACGTGGAGAAGAGAAGAGCCTATCGAGCGACAGAACAAGCGAGAGAAACGGAAAGCATCTCGACGCTCGATCCTCGTTTCGAGGACGAAGCTCGCCAGTTCCCTTTCCGGCGGTCGTGGGCGCGCCACGAGCGTGACAGAGCCTGAGCAAGGCGTGCGAGCCCGAGGGCGAGGGCGAATCCGACAGCTGTCGTCGTCGAGCGACGCCCGCGCGGTCGAGGAGCGGCGCACGGTCCTCGTCGTACCTGCGACCTCGGTTTTCGAGCTTGCCTTTACTGGACGGGGACTCTGCTATCGGCGCAGAGCTCGTTATTAGCAACGGTGGTGTACTGGTTAACATGCGGATTTCCCATGCTCTCTTGAAGTTGTCCGCGTACCGGGTTCGATTCCCGGCCGCTGCAGTACGCTTTTGCTGCTCCGCAGGAGCTTTTCCCCTTTTGCCAGACCGCATGTAGAACCGCTGGCCACCGGCGACGCGGCCAAAGTCGACGTCGAGGAGGAGGAGATTGGGTGCACGGACCATCGACCCCGCCTCTCGTACACTCTGCTCTCAGCGTGTCGCTCTCAGGGCCTTGCACTCGAAGGATGACGGTATCGAGCTCCAGCACGACAAAGAGAGGCGCTCAGAGCGCCAGAGGCGACGTCGCACGGCGAGGAAGGTCGACTTGAGAAGGCCGACTCGCGGTTGGCCGCCTGTCCTCCTCGAGCGTCTCTACGCTCGTCTCTGCGTCGTCAGACTCTTCTGAGCATCGTTATGCCCACCCTCGAGCCAACAGCGGTGCAAAGGACGCCGAGCCGGCTTCCAAAAGCGAGCTCTCGAGCTCTCGAGCTCTCGAAGGCGGCGCAGGCGCAACGGGGACGAGACGGGCGCGCACGGCGGAGCGACGATCGACGACACGTCTATAGGGAGCGCACATCGAGACAGAGGGCAGCGGGAGGCGCAACGAGCGCCGTCCCGCACGGCCGCTCGGTCCTCCTCCTCCTCCTCCTCCTCCTCCTCCTCCTCCTCCTCCGCCTTCCCTCGCCGCGTCTCGACCTTGCGCCGCCGTCTCGTCGGCTCGAGAAAGGCGCAGCACGCAAGGCCTGTCTAGATACACTGCCTGTCACGCGAACGTGCTGCGACACCTGGCTTCAGTCCGCCTCACACTTCGCGAGCAGCGCATCTCGAGTTCTCGCACCCAGCGCCAGACAGCGAGAGAGAGACCACGAGAGAGAAAGAGGGCGAAAGAGTACAACAATGCACACCAAGGGCGAGGCTGCCGAGAGAAGGGACGTGTATCTACAGCTGCTCAATCGGTAGAGGGCGACTGCTCCTCGCCGCCGTCCTGACCATCGAACCCGCCTTCCTCCTCGTCGCGCGCGACATAGTCCTCCTCGTACTCCTCGGGCTCCTCCTCCTCGACGATGGCGTCCGGCTGCTGGCCGTACGCCGCCTGGTTGTCCTCGTACGCCGACGAAGCCGCCGTCTCGCCGCTGTACGACGTCGAGCCGTTGCTGCGCAGGCTGCTCGTCGGGCCCGACTCTTGCTCGTACGCGAGGTTGATCTGCTCGGTCGCCTCCATGATCCACGGGTGCGTCATGAGCTCCTCGGCGGTCGGGCGCTGCTCGGGGTCGATGTGCAGGCACTGGCGGATGAAGTCGATGCCGAGCTCGGAGAGTTGGTGCGGTTCGGGAAGAGGTGGGTGCTGTACGGCGATGCCGATGTGGAACATGATGGCCCTGTGGCGAGAAGGAGGAGGGGGAGGACCGAGCGTTAGGACCCGTCCTCGCGAGGCGAGAGAGGAGAGGGAACGAGCTGCGACGCACCACTCGTTGTCGAGGTTGCTCCACGGCCTCCTGCCCGTCGCGCACTCGAGGATGACGCAGCCGACCGCCCACACGTCCATCGCGCCCATCTTGCCCCGGCGCTCGCCCTTGACCGTCTCGGGCGAGAGGTACATCGGCGTGCCCGTGAGCGAGTTGGCGTCGGCAGGCGCTGCGACGCCGTCGGCCGAGACGGCCGGCGCGCCAGTACTCATGCGCGACCGCGAGGCGAGCGTCTTCTGATTCTTGGCGAGCACCTTGGCGGCGCCAAAGTCGACGTACTTGATTGTGCCGTTGCCGTCGAGGAGGATGTCTGCGAGGGCGAGGAGAGTTCAAGGTGAGCACGACGACGTCGAGAGAGACAGAAGGAGAGATGAGAGAGGGAGAGAGGGGAAGGGACGACGCACTGTCGGGCTTGATGTCGCGGTGGACGACGTTCTGCGAGTGCAGGTAGATGAGGCCCGACAGCATCTGGAGCGCATAGATCTGGATGATGATCTCGTCCTCGATGCGGCCGTGCTCGAGCAGGTTGGCGAGGCTGCCGCCGGGGCAGTACTCCTCGAAGATGAAGACCTTGTCGCGGTGGACCTCAATGCCGTAGTACGTGACGATGTTGTCGTGGCGGAGCATCTCCATGACCTTCATCTCGTCGCGGATCGTCTTGACGAGGTTGGGCGCCGACTGGAGGTCCTGGAACCGGATCTCCTTGACGGCGAGCTCCTCGCCCGAGTCGAGGTTGACGGCGAGGTAGACGTTGCCGAACGTGCCGCCGCCGATGAACTTGCCCTGCTGCCACCGGATCGAGATGTTGGACAGGCTCGACGACGCGAGGAAGGCGAGCGAGCGGTCCTCGGCGAGGTTGTGGTCGAGGACGCGCCCGACGACGCGCCCGCCGGCTTCGATGCTCGCGCGCGCGTCCTCGAGCGGCTTGAGCGCCTCCATGCGCTGCTCCCACGCCATCTGGAGCGACCCGACACTCGACGCGTCGTCCTCGTCCTCGGTCTTGCGCCTCGTCTCGCGCAGGGTCGCGAGCCGGGTCGCGAGCTGCTCCTTGGTGACGAGGCGGGCGGCGTCGATGCGGTCCTGCTCCTTCTTGGCCTCGTAGCTCGACCTTGCGCCGAGGATGTCGAAGTGCGAGATGAGCAGCGTCATGCAGCTCGCGACCTTGGACCGCAGGAGGGCGAACTCGGCGTCGGAGAACTTGAGGATGTTGTCGTTCTTGTTCATGCTGAGCGCGTACTCGAGGGCGGCGACGGCCCACTTGAACGTGCGAGGGTCCGTTGGGACACAGTCGTCGCAGATGAAGGCGATCCACTGGATCGAGAGCTTCATCAGGGCGACGAGGAACCGGCCCCGGAGCGGCGGCTCGAGGTACCGCAAGCTGCGCGTGCCGAGGTCGGCCGTGAACGTGAAGTACCCGCCGAGGAGCTCCTGTCCTTGGCCCGCTCGGCGGAACGTGACGGCCCGGACCCGCTCGAACGAGCCGAGGACCGTCTCGGCGAGGCGGTAGATGGCGCGGCCGATCTTGCGCGTCTCGCGGTTGACGCTCGCGAGGTGCGCCTTCTGCTCGACGATGACGTTGTGGCGGAAGGCAGGGAACATGTCGACGAAGGTGCGCTTCGAGCGGGCGAGACGCTGGGCGGGACCGTCCGAGACGACGCGAACGCGCTTCTCGCGCAGGTCGAAGTCGACTTTGGCGCCGAGCTCGAGGTTCATGACCTTGCCGGTCCACATGAAGCCCTCGCGCGGCGTGATGAGGAGGACGTAGTGCATCGGGTGGTCGGGCGACTCGGGCGCGTCGCCCTGCGTCTCGTTCGAGAAGCACCGCACGAGGATCTGGCGCACGAGCTCGGGGTGCTCGTGGAGCGACGGGTCGCCGATGACGTAGGTGCCCTCGCCCTCGTACACGCCGGTGTAGATCATGAAGTGGTCCGAGGCGACGAGGGCGTCGATGAAGGTGCGCAGGTGGATGTTGTCGAGCGTGTACTCGGCCGAGTTCTCGAAGCGGAGGAGCATGGACCTGCAGGCGCGGTGGACAAGTCAGTGAGCTGCACTCGAGCGCGAGACAGGCGAGGGAGAAGGACTGAGAGGAGAGGAAGGTCCACGCACCGGCCGAACCGAAGAAGCTTGCGGTGCCGGGCGCGCACGTTGTCGAGCGTCTGGCTGAACCACCTTGACGCCTCTTGGACGGTCATGTCGCGCGTCTCGAGGACCTGGAGCTGCGTCTCGAAGTAGCTCATGATGCGGGCGAGTAGGCGATGCGTGAGGGTGCTGCAGGGGGAAGGACGAGGCGGCGACAAATGGTCAGTTTCCTGCGCTCTCTCGGACAGGCAGTCGAGCTCGAGAGAAAGGGACAGAAAGAGTGTGGACGGACCTGAAGTGCTCGCCGACGAGCAAGTCGCCGCCGTCGATTTCCTCGGTCACGCCCGACAGGAAGCCCCACTCGTTCTCGACGATCTCGGTCTCCTTGAAGTAGATGGCCTTGGACGGGCTCTTGAGCTTCCAGTGGAGGAGCTTGAAGAAGAAGCGCAAGGTGGCGAGGAGCGTCTCCTCGTACCCTTCGACGCGCTCGGGGAGGGCCCAACCGGCCTCGGCGTCGGGCGTGGCGAGCTCGGTGTACTGGCGCTTGATCTGGCACGCGACCTCGAGGCCCTTGCGCAGGTCGTTGGTGAGCTGGTCGATGAGGACGACCGTCGGGTCGTGGACGTTGGCGACCGAGTCGAGCGTGGTGCGGAGCGCCTCCTGGGCGAGGCGAGACGGGAAGATGGCGAGCCGCGACAGGTCGTCGGTGAAGCCGGGCAGGTTCATGGCCGTGAACGACGTCTGGAGCTCGATGACGGCCGCCTTGGCCGTGTCGACGAGGGTCGCGAGATCCGTGAGGATGCGCTTCTCGAACGTGCGCGACAGCGAGTCCTCGCGGACGATGACGGCGACGAAGCCGCGCTCGGTGCCGGGCGGACCGGCCGCACCGGCGGCGTACAGGCCTGGCGGCGGCGTCGAGCCGCTGGCGCCCGAGCCGGCGGCGCCTGCGCCCTCCTCGACGCTCGCCGGCGCCGACAGCTTCTCCCACTCGCCGCCGGTCCACTTGCGCAGGATGCCGACCGTCACCTTGAGGCGACGCGTGATCTGCTGCCACGTGCGCAGGGCGTCGAGGCGGCGCACGATCTCGTCCTCGGTGAAGCGCTCCTTCTCGAGCGACAGGGCCCGGCGCGAGGGCCACAGCGACTCGCACCAGTCGACGCGCTTGAGGAGGCTCGCGACTTGGTCGGCGGCGTTGCGCTGACGGGTCGCGCTGTCGATCTCGATGCCGCCGTCCTCCTGCTGCAGGTCGACGACGCGGAACTTGGCGACCTCGTCGATCACGTCGTCGACACGGGCTCGCGCTTCCTCGAGGAAACGCGACTCCTCGTCGGCGGTGCGACCTCGGACCTTGGCGCGCAGGAGGAGCCAGATGGCGTAGGCGCGTTGTCGTCGGCCGGAGCTGAAGCCGTCGACGAACCCATTTTTGAGGCTCTTGGTGCCCGACAGGGAGGCGGTCGACAGGCGCGTCTTCTCCGACTTGAGGACGTTGCCCGACAGGACGTTGTTGAGCATGTGCTGCCACTCGAAGCGCGCCTTGGTCTCGGGCGAGTCGTCCTCGGACCCGGTCGCGTCGCCGTCGTCGTGCTCGTCGTGGGGCGGCACGTAGTCGGGCGGGTGCAGGTCGAACGATGCCGTCGGTCGCCGGTACGACGACGAGAAGCTCGTGAGCTCTGGTCGGCCCGGGTGCTCGTCGTCTTCTGCCTCGCCAAAGTCGTTCTCCTCGGTCTGCAGTAGGGAGAGGGGGACGTCAGGTCCTGGCCCGCCTCGTGCGCTCGCGGCGAAAACGTGGGCGCACCTCGTCGATGCCCCACCCCAAGTCCACCTCGCCGAGAACATCGCTGTCGTCGCCCTCGCTGTCCTCGTCGCTGTCGAGGCGGCCGAGACCCTTCGAGTAGTACAGGCGGTCGGGGTCGTCCTCGGCGTCGTACATGGCGCCGTGTCTGCGTCCGGGATGGCGAGTCGTCAGCTCTCACAGCGCTCTCCTGCGCCGCACCGCGAGCGAGAGCGAGAGGTGGGACGAACACTGGCCCTCCATCTCCTCCTCGGCTGATGCCGACAAACGACCTGCCGGTCGCCCGCCTGCGCGAGATGGCGTGCGACGCCTCGATGGACGCCTGTCGCTGCGCTTTGGCGTTGGCCTTGGCGAGCGAGGCTTGCGACGCGGCGGGCGGAGCGCGCGACGGCATGGCGGCGGCCGGGCGGTGCGGGAACGGCGACGCCGCTGTGCTGGGGCTGCGAGGCGGATCGGCGGGGTGCGCGAGCGCGTGCGCAGGCTAGCGGACCCGGCTTGGGCGTGTCGGTGCGAGGTGTGGTGGTGCGATCGAAGGTCGACCTCGTCGCGACCACAACGAGCAGATGAGACCTCTCGACTTTGTGCTGTTGTTCTCTACAAGCTCGAGCGCAGCATCAGGATCGTCACGAGAGAGTGCACTTGCAGCGGGAGGCAGGCGGACAAAGTACGACAACAAGGGAAAGCACGAGACCTCGCCGACCGCTTCCTCCATCCGACGGCGCTACTCGAGGCTGAACGGCGTGATGAGCGTCGCACCTGCACAGACATAGAGCGTCAGTGAGAGCGCGAGGGAAGAGAGGAGGGAGAGCGGACGCACCCTCTGGCAGAGCTCCACCGACCGTCTCGGCCCTCCCCCTCCCTCCCTCGATGACCCTCGGGCCCCTCCTCCTCCTCAACCGCGCCTTGAGCCGGTCCAGCACGCTCACCTCCTCGTCTGCGCCGCTCCCACCGTCGTCGCTCGCCGCCGGCGGCCGCACCTCCTCGCCGTTGAGCCGCCGGAACAGGTCGACCGCCTGCGCGAGCACGATGCGGCCCTCGGCTGTCGGCCCGAGCGGCGTGCTCGCGCCCGTATGCGCCCGACGTGCGAGCCGCATGTAGCTCCTCGACGCCGAGTGCGCCTGCGACAGGAGTGTCGCGAGGTCGGCGAGCGCGAGAGGAAGGACGGGCTGCGTCGCGAGCGCGAGGCGGACCGATGGCGACACGGGCTCGAGCGCGACGGGACCCACGAGCTGGAAGCCGCTGCTGGCGCGGCGCAGGGGCGTGTTGGGGTCGTCTTGCGGGAGGAGCGTCAGGCGGACGCGCACTCGAGGAGGGCGGATCGAGACGGCCGACGAGGCTTGGCGGCCCGAGCGGTAAAAGTCGACGTGGATGGCGACCTGGAGCCCTCGACCCGCCTTGTCCTTCTCGAGGTCGAACGGCGCCGCCTCGAAGCGCGAGTTGCCGTGCCCTGCGCGAGCGTGAGAATCCTGGGTGAGCTGCGGTCCATCCTCGTCCTCGAGGCAGCGAGGGAGGGAGAGAGACAGAGAGCGGGACGTACACATGATGAAGACGAGCAGGTTTTGCCATGTCCTCGCCTCGATCGCGAAGGACTTGAACGCCTGCCGCCCGTCCGCTCCTCGCACCGCCGACAACTGCGACCCCCTCGGGAAGTCGCCCTCGTACTCGAGTCGCGGGTACCGCCCTGCGGCGCTCGTCTCGTCGTCGACAAAGCCCCAACGAACGTCGCGCAGGACGTGCTCGTCGGCGAACGGCACGAGCGCGCCGAGGTCCTCGACGAAACCGCCGGCCGAGGGCGACGAGCGGAACGAGGCGGCTGACGGCGAGGTCGGGGCCGAGACGGACGGAAGGCGCGCAGGTAGGGGAAGTTCGAGGAAGGATGAAGGTTCGGGCGTGGTCGGGGCCGAGACGGGCTGCGTGACGTGGGCGACGGCGGGCGGTACGAGGCCGGTGGGCGTGCGCTGCTCGTCGTCGGCGGGCTTGCCGCTCGAGCCGCTCGAGCGCTCGACCTGGTCGACGTCGAGGACGGGCCGAGACACGTACGCCCGGTGCGACAGCGAGTCCCGGGTCGTGCGGCGCGCGAGGACCTCGGCGAACAGGTCACTCGCGAGCGGTGGCCGAGCGACGGCGGGCTCCTCCTCCTGCGCCTCATCCGACGAGCTCGGCCCAGTCGCAGGCTCCTCGCCGATCTCGGCAAACTGGTCGCCGAACGGGTCGACCTCAACCGTCGACGCCCGACCCGGTCCCACCTCGCCGAGCCCGAGCGGCTCTTCAACGAACGGCAGCGCCTGGTCGCGGACCGCCTCGCACTCGTCCCACCGCGCCGGGATCGACTCCTCGAACGAGCCGGCGCTCGCGGCGACCGAGAGCGCGCCGACCGACGCCGAGCCGACGAGCGACGACGAGCCGCTGTACCCGCGCTGCTGGGTGTGCGAGCCGGCATACGGCGCGAAAGACGGGTAGGCCGAGTACGACGATGAGGCGTATGGGGAGGGGTCGGGCGAGTCGAGGCGGGCGTGCTTCTCCGAGACGAGGCGGTGGAGCTGGGCTGGGGCGGCGCCGGTTGGCGGCGCGGGTGCGGGAGGGAAAGGGAGCGGACGGCCGGGCCCGATGATGATGTCCTCGGGCTCATCAAGTTCTCGAGCGTGCTGCGGGAGCTCGTAGGCGGGAGGGGGAAGGTCGTCGTCGAGCACGTCGGTCGATGAGGAAGACGGGGGAAAGTACGACGACGAGGTGGACCTGCGACGCTGAGAGGGTCAGTAGGCTCGACAGCGTCGACGTCTTTGATAACGAGAGAAAGAAGAGGACGTACGCTGCTGCTGGAACAGACGATGTCGCCGCGCTCGGCTCGACCTCCTCCGGATCCGAGTTGGCCGCGCTGAATCCGCCGCGCCAGATCCTGCGCTTCTCCTCCTCCTGAAGGCTGAGCTGCATCGCGAGCTCGAGTGCCTCCCGCTCCCTGCGCTCGAGCTCGTCCTCGTCGCCGCCGTGCGCCGGCCCGTCGTCGTCGACGCGCGCCTTGCCCTTGCCCTTGCCCACGCTGTCCTCGCTCTCGCGCCGACTCTGCGCCATGGCCCGCTGCACCGCCTTTTCCTCCTCGGCCCGGAGCCGCCGCTCGTCGCGCTGCCGCCCCTCGGCGTCGTTCCTCGAGCTGAGGAGCGCTTCCCTGAGCGCACGCTCCTCGGCGTGGGCCCGCTCGCGCGCGAGGGCGTTCTGGCGCAGCTGCTCGAGCGCGGCCGACGACGACGACTCCTCGAGCGTGAGGCGCACGAGGCGCTCGTCCTCCTCGGCGAGGGCGGCGAGCCGGCGCTGCTCGGTCGCGATGCCCTGCTGCATGGCGCGCTCGACCTGTTCGGCGAGGGGCAGAGCGATACGTCAGGACACTGCGGTGCGGAGGCGAGAAAGAGGGGAGCGCGAGACGCACGGCTTCTTGCTCGAGCTCTGCTTGAGATGGGCGGCGGCGGCCCGAGGTAATGCTCGCGCCCGTCGGCGGCGGCGGCGGCGGCGACCTCGCGTAGGTGCGGAGCGAGGCTGCGCGGGTCGCGGACGGTGTCGAGGGCGAGACGTGGGTGCCGTACGGGTTGGGCAGAGGTGCGACGGGTGTCGAGAGCGAGGTCGGGGACGAGACGATGGGCGGGTACGGGCCGCTCGAGGCGGGCGACAGGGGCGGGTACATGGCGTTGCCGCTGTGCCACCGTGTACCGCTGTACAGGCCGTGCGCAGAGCTGCTCGGGCGCGGCGACGACGTGTACGCGAGCGGGGGCGGCGCCGACGGGTGGGCGAGCGACGGCGAGGCCGAGGCCGGCCGCGGCGGGTTCGACAGGCCGCGCCGAGTCGACGGGTCCGAGTAGCCGCCGGAGCGCAGGGCTCGACTGGCCGGGTCGTGGGCGCGCAAGGTGCGCCCGCGCGAGAGGTCGGGCGTGGTGGCATGGGCGGTCGGGCGGTACGGGTGGGT